ATGGACTTTCAGATCCGTTGGCCCACTGATACTCAACAAGTCTTTGGGTTTACGATAATACAAGTATAACATCTAATTTCACAGCTGGCACTGGAAGCTGAGAAAACCTCTAACGCAGAATGTTATTAAATAAAGCTTTACATTATCCCAAATTCCGTGCTACTGTGCTGTGTTTCAGTACAGCGCTTGGTTGTTTTTTTTAGCAACAAAAAAAACACCTTAAGTTGTAAAGATTTATTTATTGCAAAGTCCTATCTGAAAAAATAGTTGAAAGCCAAACAAAACAATTCAATGGAAGAAACATCCCTACTTCAATTATTTCAATTAATTATTACGGTAACTTATGGTCTCTAAGCAATCCGACTTTCATGCTATAAAATTAATTTTTATGTTTCCCTAGAGAAATGTCCACACAAATTATGCCTGTGCTAATAAATCTGTCTGATGGTGGGCTCTTTTAGCACTAATGCACTAACCATACTTAATTGATACTTAATTTGTACTTTCAAGTGGGAAGAAGAGATGTCTCCATTTTTCTCAGCAGTATTTTTTTTTCATTCATCAGTTTAATGAGCTAAATACATGATTTTGGTAGATTTTTTTTTAAAACATCTCTCTCATCCTCTTCTAAGGAAAACATACTTTTTAGAAACTAAGTTAATATCTTAGTTATGCCTCTGGAGTAGCCATTATTTTAATGGATGACAGCACTGATATGTATATATATGTACAGATATATATGTATGTATGTATTTGCCTTGCCCAATAATAGGAAGTAAATTAACAGATCCATTAATTTTAGAGTAATAGTGCGGGTATTTTGCTTCTAATTGTTTGGAATAAAAGCTAAGATTCCCACTTTTAGTCTTTGAATTTTTAGCTTAAAAGTCACGTGTGGTAGTTAACCCACAACTGGGATGCTATCTAGTGTTGCCCCTGGGAGGGAAGAGAGTGCTGAATTTGGTGACAAAACTGTAAAGCTGAATTGTGGTGGACTTGGAAGAGGGTATCAGATATGGGCAGTCAGGTATTACCTATTTATTGACTGTTCAATTTCTTTAAAAATTAGTAGCTGCTGGATTTAGCAGAGGATAAATCCATAAACAATGTCCATTAAAATGTTAACAAACTTCATCTGTGTCATCTGCCAGACCACCTGTAATTCCATTTAACCTAATCTCCATATTGTCTGTTATTTATTCCCTAGAGATGGCATTCCATATTGTGAAACGGACTATCATGCGAAGTTTGGTATCAGATGTGACAATTGTGAAAAGTATATCACAGGAAGAGTGCTTGAGGTAAGGAGACTCTCACTTGAACAACTCTCAAAGTACACAGAGAGGCCTACTCATTTATGTGTGTTCATACGCTCAAAAATGAGTGTTATTGCAGCACTGTAATGTTAGTTCTATGATATACAATTAACTTTTCATATAACTCTTTTCTATTTCTTTTCTTAATGGTTTGATGAGGCATATATTCCGTAAATCGATATTTGTGGTACTGGAGAACATTCAAGTAGAAGCAATAGTAAGCAAACAGGTTATCAGGCACATTTTAATACTTAAAGTGTTGTAAATTCTGCTTTGTGATTCCATTTTACATTCTCCAGAGTTAGTATGAAACTGCTGCAAAACTGCTGAATCAAACTGCATCTTTGCACTCAGAAATGTGCTTCTATGTGAGTCTGTGCCCTGATAAAAATGTAGCAGTCTTACTTGATACTGGTGCAAGTATCTGCTGGATACTTTGGGAGTAACTTCGGTTGAAGTCAGTGACGTTAAACAGTGGAAAAAATACTGATGCAAGAGGGATAAGACATTAGCAATTAAAAGAAGAGCAGGGCAGATAAGTAGGAGGAAAAGGACTTTTGCAGTTTGTAAAAGCACAGTGCCATCAGAAAATGGCAGTAGCAGATAGGCAAGAAATGATGGAGTTAGTATGAAGCAGGCAGTGACCATGTTGACCTTCAGTGCCTGGAGGTTTGTTACTATAGTCTGGAAACTTTATGGTCTAGAACTTTCTTTTCATAAAGTCATACAGAAAGTGGTTGGCTTGTGTGCAAGATAACTAATGTTGTGTAAATATGGATTAATGTCCAGTATCCTGTAAGGTAACAAATGAAATGGCCACTGAGCTCCATAGTTACTAGTGGAGAACGATCAGATGAGCAGAAAGCACACGCACCTCTTTTCATTAGGAGGATAGACTAAAATTCATGACTTAAGCAACCAGATTTGAAAGGATGCAATGCCTGTGTCTGTGTCTAACACTGGTAAGTCATTTGTTGTTTGCTTGCAATGGACAGACTTGCTCTGAAGACTTGGAATTAGGGCTGATGTCTTTGGTTCCTCCAATATCCTCCTCGGCATTTGTGTGTCACAAGTCAGCTGGCTGGTGTGTTTATATATTGCCTGGTCACAAAGACAGAAAAAAGAAAACGTAGCCATCGCTGCTCTACAGTGATTTTCTTGGAATTCTCAGTAATCCTGAAACAATTTTCAATATCTTTATGATACTGAATATAATCTGGAGATCCACAGAAATTATGGGGCATATAGGGCAATAGCTCGTAAAGCCTGTGATCCTTATTAAAAGTGGAGCAGTTTCCCAAGGGAGCTGCTGCAAGCCATTGCTTAGCTCATATTAAAACTCGATTGGACAAGGCACTGGAAAATCTTTGTTAGGGAACAATCCTGCAATGACAAAGGGAGGGGCTCGATGACCTAATAGGATTTTTTCCATCTCTGATTTCTGTGATAGCGTCAGCAGGACAGCTGTTTCCACAATTATTCTGTGCCCAGATTTTTAATATTGCCTCCTTTTCCAACACTTGTTCATTTTGCATGTTTATTCATCAGGGGAGGAAGGGAGGGTCAAGTAGTGTCAATTACTGATAACTTATAAAAATATGGCTGCTTTTGTAGATTGCCAGCCAAATACAGTGATGATTTAGTTACTTAAACCCTTCCTTCAGCCCATTTGCTGAGGACCAGATCCATTCCAGTAAGTGGGCTTAAACACAACATAATTCTGTTTATTCCCTTCTTGTTCATTTTTTTCATCCTCAGTTCACTCTTCCCCAGGAACTTGCACTGAAAAAGCCACAAAAAGGGCTAAGCAGGGATATGCTTTATAGTCTGAGTTTGTAAACAAAGCGCAGGGCAACTGGAAAAAATGTTTGGGGTGGGGGGAGGGAAAGGGATAGGTTTATTTTGTTGCTTATAGTGTAACTGTTCCAAATTCAGGAATTGCTAACATAAAACAATGCAGAAAATAGGCACATTTTCATATACTAAGTTGTTTGATTTTTATAACCAGCCATTTCCCTTTTGTCGTGCTGTAGTCTGTTTCTCTGCATCAGGCACTAAAAATATATTTTTCTCTCTTTTTCTATATCATAAACAGCTATTTATTAATTAAAATATCAAGCTGTGCTAATAAGTATGTCATAAAGACAGGCAAAATGAGTATAACTGCCTTTAAAAAACAATACTATGTTTTGCATGATAAGTCAGGGCCTGGTACAAACCACTTGGAAGACAATTTCCACTTGTTTGGGGATTTTTAGTCAATTCCATGGAGGGGGAGATGCAGGTTCCCTGCCGGTTTGTCCTTCACACATGAGGAGGCCAGGGCTCCTCTTGGCCCCTATGGGGCCATGCCTGGATTCCCTCTTCGCAGCAGTGGTGGGCAGGGGTGGGGTATGCTTAAAAAAAACACAAATCTATTTGGTTTGATTTGTAAATCATCATTTGAAAGAAGGTCCAGATGTCAAAACTGCTGCTAGTGAGAAACTTCATCTCAGAGTCAAAGCCTCCGTATTTGTATGTGATGAGCACATAGCTGCTAACTCTTCTGATTAAAGTGATTGATTTCAGCTTTTTGGATCTTCTCCCTTTCTTCTGATGAACTCCATGGAGAATGCATGGGCAATAGTCTTTAGTTGCTCTTAGTTGTGCGTTGCAGAGGCAAGGTGGCTGCTTGGATGGGGGACAGAAACAGTGCTTGCTTGGTGGAGCTGCCTGGTCCTGCCCTCCCCAACTCACTGTAGCCATCACTGATAAACAAACCCATTTTCTTCCACTGCTCATTGGTGTTTTGAATTTCCTGTGAATAAAAGGTGACAGTGTAACGTCTTGGAGGATGTGTTTTGGAAAAGGTCTCTTAGGGCTCATTTACATGCAACCCAGTTGCACCTCTAAGCACTGTAGCATATTCTTAGCTTTAGACTTCTGTCTTTAACTATCCAGTGATTTATAGCTGCGTGGTTATGGCTTAAATGTGCCCTGTAGGAACTGGTGAAATTGGCCCTGTGGTTTGCTTAAATGCACAGCTGGACTCCAGCCACTGTACCTGGCACCCTAAAAGGCGGCCTAGGGCTCAGTGTGTGCTGGGGAAGAAAGGGTTAACATTATTCTGTTTTACGTGTATGTGCAAACGTCTAGGAAAGTGTAATTAATATTTATTTGAATCTATTTATCATAGCTGTAATGTTGCTTTAAAATGAGGAACCAAATGCAGGAGGTAATGGACAATTGACTAGAAATGTCAGTTCAAGACTGCAGATTAGATGTGCCAATTAAAGGCCAATTATGCCTCAGTGATTTATTAATTAAAAATGAGCCTTTTTGTTTTTTTCTTTTCTTCTTTTTTTTTTTTCCACTTGCCCTAAGGTCGAGTTTGCAGCCACAGCGACTCTGTAAATCACTAGCTTTTCCCTTACAAAAGTCTCAGAATAGCACCGAGACGAGACTAATTCGTGCAGCAGGGTGTGCAGATTTCTGCCTGCAGTGTGGAATAATGGTTCATTCTGCAATGTCTCTTATCCTGCTGTTTCACTAGCCACAAAACCCGGTGATGTGTGAAAGGTACTTCAGCAGCTTATAATATAGGCATTAATACTGAAACACACAGTAAAAGGGGCTCCTTCTGCATGAACGAAGTGTTTCCTGTAGCATGGACAATCTTGAAAAGACTGTCAAAGCAGCAGAAGCATCCAAGCTAATCCTCAGTTAGAAACTGCTCTCTACGCCAGTTTTCTCCCATCGCGAGAGAAGAGAAGGAAAACTCTTGGAAAAGATACATCTAAATAAATCAGCTTTAGCTCTTGCAGAAGGAAACCAACTAAGGTAGGAAATATATTAACTAGCACTTTCAGTGAATAGCGTTTATGGAGATATGGCACATTTTGCAGTTTGATAATGTTCTCTGTTTTGGTACCACTTGTATTTGTCTGAGACTGCTGGTTTGCAAAGGCAGGTTAATCATCATTGAATAGTGTCTGAATTTGGCTGGGTAAATGCTAACTGGTGATCAGTTGAATTAAACTGAATATTAAGAATACAGATCACAGTGCCTTTTTTCTTTAATACAGACATAATTAAATGTATTATCAACAAGCATAAAAATAGCAGTGAAAATGCATTTGACCTTAGATTTTAGCCTTTACTTTTCTGTAAATCTGTTCTAATAATTTGGGTTTATTCACCTTACCTTTCTTGCATCCTCAATCTTTCCCTCCATCAACAGCCTCTTCTCCCCAGAAAAAGATAAGGAGCTATACCTATCTGTATTAATTACATGAACTATTGAAAACTCACAACTGTTGACATGTCAGGAAAAAATAATACTAAAAGGACCCTTTACATAATTAATACCCTGTAAGTCAGTTTGGGGGATTATTTAGTAAGCCTTGAATAACAAATTTGCTGATAGCTTAAGCCAGTGTGTTTTTACCAAAGTAAGAAATTCTGCAGCCTATTTCTGAATAAAACAGAAAACAGAAAAGGAAAGGAAATAAAAAAGAACTTTAAGACTTGAAATAACGTGGTTGATATTGAGATGAAATAAAAATCCTGCAAGGCTCTTTCTCATTTTTTTTTCCATTTTAGTGCTTTCCTGGTGATGTTTCTCCTGCATGTATGGAAAAGGTCCATGAAAGTGCATTGCTTTGCACTTGCGTCTGTGTGGGGTTGTGGGTGTTAGAGGGACTTTGAACAGTTAGATACTTGAGCCTGGAGAACAGGAGAGTGATGTCTACTGCTTCTCAATAAGCAAAAATGTAGCATTATTAATTGATTGAGGTGGTTTTACACCAAAACCGTTATCTCAGTAGCCACCCTGTGCCATTTGAACTTGGGTACAAGCTGCATACGGCGTGCGCCTTAGCCTTTCTCAGCACCGTGTTGCTGTGGTGATGCATTCCCTTCTCATACGACGTAGTACTTGTTTGCCAGCATTTGGATATACTGAGGAGCTAAAATTTTGCACTTTGGGGATGTTTTCGCTTCCTCCTCGTCATGCTTTGCATAATTGCTTTGGTGTTTGTCTTCTGATCTGTGCCTTGATGGCAGCCCGACTGCTTCCCCGTGTGCCCTGTAACGCAGCCACGATGCAGCCAGCAGCACAGCAGCCTCCCTCTGGCTCCCTGCAGTAACCATGACAGTGGCCTAACGTTTAGCTCTGTCTAGCACTCTTAAATGTACTTGTGGCAATTGCCTTTGCTGATAAAGTATTGCCAGGATATTCCAGCCCATGTAACAACTGCCATCTGTAATTAGCAGGAATACACGCTGCCTTGAAGACAGATGAAAAATTTTCCCTGCCAACATTTTTATATTCCTTTGAAATCCTTTCTCACTCCAGAGAAAGAGTTCTTAAATTGTCCTTTGATCATGAGAAGTGCTGATGAATCTGAAACTAGCAACTTCCTACCTTAGGGAAGTACTGCTGAAGTCAGTTATGCATGTGTGGTAGTAACATTGCAGGCCCTTGTTTGGGGCCTAAGGTTTGGAGTTCCAAAATATCGGCTTTTATTCGGACACCTGATGAGAGGCAGCTTCTGCCCCAGATGTTTTCAGCCTGTATCACTGTGACCCACATGAAAGGAGCAGTGAAACAGCAAAGCGCCCCAAATGAGGCATCAGATTAGCTGTCCTTGTGTCTGTGCTGGCTTCCATTTGATAATATGCATGAAAATATGATAATACTGCCGCTCCAGGACTATACAATTTTGTCTGCTTTTTCATTCTTCCTGCCTAAAATGGGTGGGCTAAATCCACAGCTGCAAAACTGAGGCCAAGTCACCTTTCTCCTTCTTCACTCCCTCTCTCTAATCAAGGGATGGCAAAAGTGAGAGCCAGCTGCAGCTTGTCTTGGCCCATAAGTGGGTTTGAGGGAGTGGGAGAGGAAAGCTGAAAAGAAGTGAGGGAGGATGTTTAGCAAATGGAAAACAGAAGCCTCTTAAGTCTCAGTGGGTGGCAAGATAAATTTGCAAAGCTGAGTAGAAGACAAAAGGAGTAGCATGCTCATTACATAAGAAAGACAACAGAGTGCAAAATTAGTGTTTTTAGACTGTGTACCAGTTTTGTCAGAAAAGGTACAGTTGGCCTTTCCTAGCTGTGGTCTGCCTGCTCCTGTGTATCAGAACTTGTCTGCAGGTGTTGCAGAAAGAAATTGGAGTTTTAACAGTCCTGATTTTTTTGAATCTTTTTCTTAATTTTTCCCTTAATTATTCCCTTTATGATTTTTTATTGTTTTTGTATTTCTCTCCCAAGCATTAGAATATTCTCCTTTTGAGAGTCCAGTACATAGTAAGTTACTGCTATTCCAAGATAGATGTCCCTGCTGGTACATTCGATTCTGCACTTTATACCTGGAAGAATAAAGAGTGTGTGGGAGGCAGTAAAAATGACTCAGATGTGGGTGGGAAGTCTCAAGGCTCTGCAGAGCACAGGGGGATGAGCCAGAGCTAAGACAATGTGAAATAACCGTACATGTGAGACAGCTAAAGCTGTACGTAATGCTGCAGGTGCATGTGCTGGACACTTCACATGACTCTTGGCATCTGGTGGGGTGACAAATGAATCCAGCAAGGAGAAGCCGAGGAGAAGGATTGATTCGCAGCGTTGCACTACGCTGCGCAATTTCACGCTGGTGTAAGCCCCACTGAAAGCAGCTCGTTTGCCCTGGCACACTGCTGAAATGACTCAGTGGTGAGTCAGGCCCACCGTGACTAAGAGAATTAGTAAGACAATCCCTCAGTTTATTCTCTCCTTGCCTCCACTCTCTCGCTTTTCTCTCCACAGCCCTGTTAGGTAACACAGTAAATAGGTATTTTGCTGACTACCCCTGTGTCGACAGTGTTGTCCGTCCCTTCAGACCCATGACAGATGTTTACTAACCATTACTGTGTATAACTGTTCCTGATTAGCTCTTCCAGTTGTTCTGTAGCATTTGCAAGGTTCTGGCTGTAAATGTGAGTGGGGATTGCGTGTGGTTACACTTAACGCTAGTAATTGAGCACAGTTCTACTACAAGCAGCAACAGCTGTGTGATTTTCTCAACGTCATCTGCCGTGTTTGAAGATGCTGGGTAGAGTCTGGAACCAGCGTAGTCCGTGTAACGTGATGTGGTGCTGGTGCAAATGCTGAGTTGTAAGTGCAGCTGTTGAACTATGCCTGATGGTGCTGTACCTTCTCCATCCTGCTCTGGAGGTCACAGCAGGATCTGGGCAAAGATAAATGCTTGGGCCCGCTGTTTTACTCGCTCTCTAGCACTGATGCCACATCGGCCAACGCTATGTTGAAGCCGTGACCAGGAATGGGGCATAAGCAAGAAGAACCCCCAATTTCAGCTGGGTTAGGTTTACCTTGGAAGGGGAACTTCCTGGTCCAGTTCTGGGCTGTTTGGTGACATGGTTGCTAGATAAAAACTAATCCAGCTTTGGGAGCAGGAGTGGGCTGCTTTAACTTACAGAAAATGTGAATTTGTCTCCATAAATCAGTGCACTGTCTGCTTGCATCCAAAAAGTGCTGTATCTTATTCAAAAACTCTATTGATCTTCATAAAAGTAAAAATCTGGAGTTCCTTTTTCATACCTGTATTTATTATCTGGTTCCTATACATTTCAGCCACCTAAGGAAAAAAAAAACAATGAAAATAGTCTGGTTATAACATTCATTTTAAAAATGAATGATGAAATACAAGCATGACAAACCAAATGTCATGTAAAGGAGCTCAGTAATTTTTTACTTTTTTTGATGTGTATATTCCAAAAAAACTTTCCAGTGAAGGTACGTACTCCACAATGTTGAATTTAAAATGATAGATTATGAACTTTCCTTATACAGGTTAAGTTAGGTGCTCTTTGTCTCCCCAGTTCCACTTGTATGAATCCACAGATGTAGGCGAAAAGCATTAGAAGATTAATTTTCCAGTGAATTGTATCTTGATTTGAAATTCTGTTTTAATATGACATATATCAAGCATATCTTGATTTATTTCAGCATGTCTTGTCTTCATTTATCAGTGCTTGGAAATGGTATCTTGGGTTTTGCACTCTTAGCAACTACGTGAGAGGCCAGACTGTTAATGTCATGGTAGTGGCTTCGGAATTACTAAATATATCATTTTCTATGTATTCAGCTATTTCACTGGTCATTTCTACCATAGCCAGAGGTTGAGCAGAGGTTTTCACTGTGCTATCTATAATAACGTAATATGTTTCTCCTGGATGCTGACAGATAATGTAGCACCCAGCTTTCAGTAGTTCAGGTTATTCCTTCCACTATGAGTTACTCTGCCTTGCTCAGCACAGAGTGTTATTTAATGCTTTGTGTTCTGTACAGGCTCGAGTAGTGCCCTCCTTCCTGTTTTCAAACTGTGTGTTAAATGATGTAATTAACATTTGTCACACGAGATTCATTGTGTCTTCTATCTACTTCAGTCCCGAACGTAGAGGGAATTAAAAAAAAAGGTAATTTTTATTTATATACACTGCTACAGAGCTTTTTATTTATTTATTTTTTACTAAGTGTGGGTATACTTTTCTATGCACTCTATCAGAGGTAGCAACACAGAAGCGCACCTCATGCTTAGAGCAGAAAGGGCTGCAGTTTTCTGTAGTTCTTGATCCCGAGGGAGGGTGTTCTGTCCTTCATCCAGACCAAAAACCCTGCTGCCACACAAAAAAGTATTACCTTTACAAGCAGCCCTTCCTAGCTAAGGGATGGAGTGATTCAGGACAGTCTGGCTCAGATTTGCAAGCACCTTTTTGACTCAATTTTGAAATTATATCCCAAGACATTGACTCAGCAATTATGGAAAGCTGCTACAGTCATTTGAAGGGAAATTAAAATATTGTTAGTGTACTGTGTTTCCGAGGACACTCTTTGCTGTTCAGATTGAAAGATTCATCAGCTGAAAATGTATCTTCAGTTTAACATTGAGAAAAATATTGTCCTTACCTCGAGATGCCTAGGCACAAAGTCTAGGGGCAGTCTTCAAGCAAATGTAGGCTGTTGAGGGGGGTCCTTGCAGTCCTCCCTGAGCAGTGGGAGATCTGTCAGGGATGGGTGTTGCAGCTTCCATGCTGTATGTGTGTTGGTATCTTATTAAACAAGCAACACTGAGACAACAATCTGTCAAACTAAGCTTTCAAACTGTGCAAAGAAGAAGTAACCATATGGTTAGGAATTTGTGTGCTGCTCTAAATTCCCTCACGTCAATATAACTAAGAAAAGAAAAAATAACAAGGCCATCATCATGGCTCAACTGAAAGCATTTAGCAGTTGCTGCCCTAAGCTTATAAAATTTCTGAATTCTGCTGGAAACCTGTTTGTTTGTCTCTGAGGTGAAGCCTCTGAAAGGGTCTGAGGAGAGCGGAGACACAGGCCTGGATGAAAGCCGCCTTCATGTGCACCCGGGTGAGGTTTTGAGGCACATCCAGGTCTAACATTCCAGGTCCCATGGTTTAAATATAATTCATGAGTATCTAATCAAATTATATAACCATATTAGAGAATAATAGTAGTTATTTCCTGCATCAAGTCCATAACCTGAGATTCAGCTCTCCGCTCTCATTTAGAAGGACAGTATCATTTGTTTTAAATACTTCAAAGGTTAAAGAATCTGCTCTGTCTTGTTGTCGCTGCTTCAGTTAGATGGCTGCAATATAAACTGAAAAAGGGGGTAAACAACAAAAAATGCCGTGAGCCCTTAAGAATTACTTGAAAAATTTGAATATGCGCCATTTTAATTCAGAGGTAATGCTGAAAAATCTGTTCAAATTGTGCTGGTGTGAGTGGCAGAGCAGAAGGATATTCTGATCTTTTTCTGTTTTAAGTATATCTAAGTTAAAAAAAAAAATCACTCTGGCATTTAACATCTAGTGATTGGATAGTAGTTGGTACACAGGTGAGTGAATTACAGTGATATTTGGTTGTGCTGTTGAATGTAGGGAAGTAGCTTCTGTTCTGTGATGCATCACCAAATGCATTCTGACAGTTTCTTTTTTCAGAGGAATAATTGAATTCCTCTGAATTGTGGCTAGATACTCAGCCTGGGAATTGAGCCGGGCAAAATCAATTACACTATTGAGTCTATGCTTTGTATTAGCAATGCCCATGTAATACCAGTCTTCCAAGGGAGATGGTGCTTCTTTTCACTTCATGTTTCGCATTTAGGTTTGTCTGATTATAGTTAAAGGATCACCTGTGCTGAAGCCTGTACTCAGGCAATAGTGTTAAACCTCAAGTCTGATACTTCACTCTAAATAATGTTGGTTTTCCTTTTCTAAAGTTGCAGAAGACTCAGCAGTCTGCACCAGTAGACCATGAAGCAAAGAGTGAACTGCAACAAAGCTGTTTTCAAAATGTTAATTCCCTTGTGATGTGTTGCTCATCCTTATTGCTGATATAATGCATGCAGCAACAAGTTTTCAGGGGTGAAACAAGGTAACATGGGTGAAGTAAAACTCAGGGCTTCTTTAACCTTACTTTATGACACTCCTGAATTTGATATTGTAGATGGCAAAGTAGCCCCCAAGCCAGAATATGTTCTTAAAATCTCTCTAAAGACGTTGATATTCTGTCACTCAAAAATAATCAGGCAAGTTATCCCTGTAGTAACAGTGTTAAATTTCTAACAGCATCTTGTTTATTCTTGCCAATAACAGATATTTTTGATATTAAGGACAGAGGCATGTTTAGATACTGGAGTGCCAATAATTGATAATAATTTGTTAAAGTTGCACAAAATCCTAACAGCTCTTTCAACCTCCTCTGAGTGGACAGGTTGTTGTACATAGCTATGTTCATTTTTAACTCCAGCAGGACTCCAGCTCAGACCAGATGGCTTTAGGGATACTTGCTCTGCAGGCTTTTGTTCAGAGTGGATAAAGCACTGACTTCAAGCCTAAAACTATTCTGTCTGGCCCAGAAAAATTTGGGATGGAAGAGGAGGGAAGAGATGCCAAAATTCATCTCTTCCGTGGATGTTCCTGGGATGCTATTTTTGTCTGGTTCAAGCCAACATTCACTTGTGGTGCTGCTATCCTTGCCAGTGGGAACCAGAGCTCACACGTTTGCCCACAGTTAGCCACAGAACCAGGTTGTGGCCAGGTGGCTGAGAAGTTTGCTGCATAACTCCTTCATAAATCCCGTGCTGCAAGAATCTTGACCTTTTATCCTGATATTAGTTTAAGATCAAATTCACTTTTTTCCATGTTGCACATTAATCTTCTGACAGACAAATCCTTACTCCTTACTATCCTATATATTTCTTTTCTTGAAAAACACACTGAAGTCAATGGCAAAACAGTTGAAATTCATAGGGTTATAAAGAAACCTAGAAATCTGAATTCATAAAACGTGGTGATTTGCTAACCTGAGAAAGCTTACAGCTTAATCCTGTCCTAAGTTACCGTGCATTTGGTGCACGTTATGCTTGCTTGTTGGGAAAACAGTGGTTACTATATGGAATAGTTTCTACTCTGTAAATCCACAGATTTACCTATGACTCACTAATGTTTTTGTGCAGTCAAGACTATAGTTTCATTTTGAAAAGTAAAGTATCAAAAATCGAAATAAGTATGTGGCTTTAGTCAGTTGTTGAACTAGCTGGAATTAACTCATTTATTCTAATTAATCATGTTCTAGAGAATGAAAAAAAATCTCATGCTAAATCTTCTGAATCGATCATTAAGCTTAATTTTTGGTGCTGTTTTGTTTTGTTTCTAAACAGGCAGGAGAAAAGCATTATCACCCAAGTTGCGCACGATGTGTCAGGTGCAGTCAGATGTTTGCAGAAGGAGAAGAAATGTATCTTCAAGGTAAAAAAAAAAAAAAAAAAGTTACACTCAAATGCATTACCCTCTTTCCTATGCCTGCTAGTGTGGCTGTGCTGTTTTGAACGTTTTCTTATTTCAAAACAAACCAACAAAGTGAAGGAATATGTAGGCTAAGGGAAAGCAAAACCAAAACACTCTTTGATGCCTCTAATTTACTACTAATAGTTCGCTCCCTGTTTAAAGCCAGTAGCAAGTATGAATCACGTGAAGAAGAGTCAGTGGTAGAAGTTATTTCTTTCAGGTGGACCTAGTAACAGTGAAGATTTAAGAAGTTTCCATTTAATAAAAAATACGATTTTCTGTGGTGCCAATTTGTCTAGATGAAAACTAATGTACATCTGCTGTTGTGGATCTGAGACCAAGGCTGGATCTATTTCCCGTTGGCGTGCCCAGAGAAAATCTGCAGCACCTTACTTGAATTCCCATCCATCCTGTCTCCATACCTTCAGATGATAAAAAGGATGGCATGAAGGTGAAGTCCTCACAAGACTATATCTTCTGTCTATACCTTCTGCACCACAAGAGAAATTAATAGAGAATAAGAGAATAAATATTTCTGGTCAGGGAATTTCAGTGGTTTTAGGGAAAGACTTCCTGTGTAATTCATGCAAAGAGCAAAAACATTATTTAGCCTAGACACAAGCTAGAATACTTTTCAAAAAACAGTAAGAGAGATATACATGGTTGAATATAGAGTCAGCCACCAGAGTAAATGTAGGCTTTTGCCCATTGACTAACAGTATGTTTTCAAAGCAGAACAGTAAAGAGAGACTCAGTATAACTTGGGAAATGCAACGTTGGGGTATTATCCTAAAATCAGATGTTTGCCCAGATATGTATTATAGATTTTGCAACTGTCCACAGTTTTTTTAAAATAGTACATTGAAAAAGCTAGTACAGCAGTATAATAGTGCAACAGAGAGGTTATGCTTTTTTTAAAACCCAAAAGTGGTCTCAGTAAGATCTTGTTATAATTTACTGTATTATTTAAAATGACAGTTTTATTGTCACTTTGGTTTTCAACAAGAACTATCTTATTAAAGGACGTAATGATCCTTGTCTCTGCCCATGCATTTTCTCTCAGGAGCCAGAAAAAATGTTGTGCTTCTTCTAATTGTAAGTAGTTTAGCAATACTGAAAGATCACCAAAAATAAGTGCTTTAAAAAAAGATGTTGCACTGCAAATTTGTTTCTAGATTATTAAACCTGCAAAACTGGGTTACAGTGAATCTCCTGTTTAAGTTCAATTCACTCTAAAGAGAGATATTTGTTAGGTTTTGTGCTGATTTTTAATTCAAAGAGTCATAAGGTATGCTCAGATTCTATTAATTTTTACATCTGCTTTACTTTCTGATGCAGGGAAACATTCATACCAACTTACCATCATATATTTTTTGTCTTTACACAAAGAGCACCTTCCATCAGAAACCAGTGTGAACTTGAAAGTAGTCTGATGTTTGGACTGCTTCATCGGACATTTTAGTTTAGAATGTCAAATTTCATGGTTTTATAACTTGTTCTTCTTCCACTTACTAGTAATGCACAGTATCTTTATATGTTGCGTGTTCATTACTAGAAAACAAGTCTTCAGTGGTCATGCAACAGGCAACAACTGGGTGTAATGATGCTTTTTCTTCTATATACAAAAGTTTTCCAGCTAGTTCTGCATGACCACATGTAGTAGTAAGTAATCATTCAAAAAAGATTATTAAATAGTGTTTAAAACACTAGTGGGAAGCTTTGCATCAGCTCGTGGGGCAGTTCATTCAAACTCCTTCAGTGGATGAGCTGAGACTTATTCAACATCGGAACATAGCTTAGGATTGAATTGAAAGGTTCCATTAAGCCATTTTTTGCTAGTTTAGTCCTCTAAAAAATCAGTAATTTAGTAGACATAATTTGTCCAGTTTGAATTTACAGATTCTGGGTTCATCTGGGCTATTTTTGTGAAGTGAAATAAAATCTAATCATCTTCATCTGTCTTCTCATACACAGACCTTCTGTTTTTATATCCTTTCCAAAATCCACCAGTGGAGAAAACTATCAAACTGCTGTGAAAACAAAGCATTTCCTATAAATCTTCTTGGTGCTCTCCACTCAGTGAAAACTAAATATTCTTAACAAAAAAGTTCTCAACTTCCCATTTAGTCATGCAGAGGTTGCCTTGCGCTAACATTGTTCAGCTATGCGGGGAAATGCTTGAGCTCGTGTTCCGGATCAGACAGGGGTAAATGTAAAGTTTTCTTCTACTATTAAAAATGTACAGATAATTCTTCATTTTTTACAGTTATTCACTCATTTTTCATAATTATGCACGTTCCACTTTCATCCATGTATTGAACATTTGTGTTCAACTTCTAAAGGATTTTTTTCTTTGTGACTGGTACAAAAATGTTAGTTTCTTTCTAACTCTTACATATACTCATAACTTGAGTTGAAATCACATTAGCCATACCATAAGCATCTATTCCAAACATACCTGCAGCATAGACTTGACTCATTTTGTCCTGTTGTCTCTAGGGTATGTCTTTCCTTGAAATAATGCAGGTTTTAAATATTTAATTGGTGTTAGACAAGCAGGTGGAAAGTGCAAGATTGCTACAATGAATGATAAAAAAAATATTAGATTTTAAGCATTAAATGACCAAACTGTGTTTCATTCCAACACAGGATGCTAACCAAGGTGACATGCCAAAGCATTACAAGAATATGGAGAATAAGATCACAGGAAATTCTGTCCAGATTTGGGGCGGGGGGAACCCTTTACCAGGAGAGTGCTGAAACACCAAAGCAGGTTGATCAGAGAGGTTGTGGAATCTCCAGCCTTGGCAATACTCCCAGTGCTGCCAGGACATGGTCACCTGCTCTGGTGGGACCTGCCCTGAGCAGGGGCTTGGAGTCAAGGACTCTCAAAGATCCCTTCTAACATCTCCAATGATTCAGGTTTTGAAGTTTATTTCACATTTTTAAGTCCCTGTAGCTTTATGATGTGCCTTTTAAATGTGTGACACCAGACTTACTGATGTTGAGAAATTGTACTTTCTAACTTTGAAAGTGTCCATGAAATCCTGCTGTATCCTATAAAAGCCACTCGTGAGGGAACTGAATTCATCAGAGCTCTGAATTTAATTTTCAGGTACATCCATCTGGCATCCAGTTTGTAGACAGGCTGCAAAGGCTGAGGAAAAAAACAAGGTAAAAATACCTTATTTTTTATCTTTTTTTTTCCTTCTTCTCTCTTATCTTTTGTCTTATTCTCTATCCTTTTTCGGGGCGGAGGGAGAAGGATTTGAAATTGTTTCACTGTCATCATTTTAAATTTAAAATGACAAAAATCTAGTAGATTAATGGGAAACATCATGTTTCCCTTTTTGCTTAGTGATTAAAGCTATGAATTAAGGCGAATTGTGGTCTACAATCCATAGTTATATGAATAAGCTGTCTCAGAGGGAAAAAAAAAAAAAAACCTGGATTTTTAATTTCTGTCTGATTACAATGTGATCAGTGCATGACCTCTGCTCTTTTTATGTGGCTCTGCTCTTAAAAGATCAGAAGACTTTCACTTTTTTTGGTTTTCATTTTGTTTTGTTTTTCTGAAGCCTTTCATTGGACTTTCTTATTATTTGCTTTTAAAACGTTGGCAAGCCCCCCCCAGCCTAATTTGATGTCTGGCTTTAAGTACATCCTTAACTTGGATGATTTGTGCGTCTGTCTGTGTGCGAGGGGAGAGGAGGGAGTTCTGGCAGCTTTAATAATTGCAAGGTTAGTGGATGAATAAACTTCCCCTAGGAAATGAAGAATTAATCTGTAGCTGGGGAGCAGATCTCTCTGATGTGGCGGGGATGAGATACAACTATCTCATTTAATGCAGGGGCCAAGTGCGGGACTTTTCAGTTCTGCTCTTTTCTGATGCTCCAAGTGGCATCGTTGTTTGAAGAAGCTTTGGTTTGATTTACCAAGGGTTGTATTCGAGTCCCACGGGACAAGGCAGAACAGCAGGCAGCAGCTATAAAAAGAGTGTTTACAAATGTGGTGTGTTAGCAAGTGCAACTTTGACTAAATTACAGTGTTGGAAAAAAGAAAACAAACTTGTTTGAGGCTTTACCCTGGAGGACGTTGGCTCTGTATTTGTACCCACGTACTGGGGAAATGATTGTTCTGATATTCAGTAGGGCAAGCTCTGAGTATCAGATAAGTGGTTTTTCGGTATGAAGAAAGAACGAGTGTATTTAAGATTGTCAAAATAACTTAGTTTAATAAGTGCTGTTGATTCAGTCTAACCATATTATGCAGCATTTCAAGCTTCCTGAGGATTTTATTTGGGCTGCGTAACTGAAATTGCAAGGCTAAAGCCCTGTGTAATCTATTGAAAATGTAATTTGTTTGTTTTTTTCCACTGTTGAAAGTGTTTGCTGGGTTCATACTAACTGCCTTGTCCCCACAAGGTCCCAGAAAGTGTCCGTGACAGATACTGTTGAGCATCTGACTCATTTTGGACAAGTCTGTCCTGCGTCCCTGGGAGGCTGCCCCTTCCCAAGCAGAGAGGAAGGCAGCAGGAAAGTAGGAAAACCTCAGTAGGAAGAAACAGAAGGGAACTTGAAGCATTTTTTTCAAGCCTTTTTGAAATTTTCTTTGGGGTTTTCCCCTCTTCCTTTTCTGGTCTTTACTCTCATTAGTGAAAGGAACAAGAAGGAAGGATGCTGCTTCCAAGAAGGTAGTAGCAGACTTGCCAGCTTATCTAGTAAAATTGAATATAGAATGTGCTGATTGAGGAATTTTCTGGTCAACCCTTTATTTCAGAAAATTGATTTCAAAAGTTGAATATCTCTCTATAAATAGATAAATGTAGAGCATGTGACTGAAGGAGGTGCTAAAGGTAGAAGGCAGCACAGACCAAAACTTTGGAGCCAGAGTGGAAGGGGAAAAGAAGTTATGATAATACAGCCACTGTAGGGGAAAAGAAAAAGCCAAAGAAAAGTGGGCTGTTCCCTTGTTTTGGATCCTTGTCCCACAGAAGTCCATAAGACTATTTGTGTTAATGAAGGTCGGTGAAAGGTTTGCTGTGATCACTGAGTTTGATCCTTCTGCTCCACAGTACAATATTGCAGTGAAGAATTTTTTTTCTCTGATTTACCGATTTTTTTACTTTCAACCATTCTTGCTATTTCTAAATTAAGGTTTCCACTCTGAAAGCATTTAACAATTACAATTAACATAATAACTGTCTCTATAAATAGTAAAATATACTACTGGCATAGTAGGTAAGATGCTACCTTAAGCTGACAGCTGAATAATACTAAAATCTTTTCAAAGATTTGAAGAATTGTAGCCTCCCTGTGAGAAGTGTCTGAATTTAGTAAGACACTAAATGACTTCTGTGACTATAACGCATAACAAAAAATGTGCTTGCTTGTATCCTGGGACAGATTTTTCCATAGATGGAAAAGAATATTTTATGATGAGCTAGCATATCTGAATAAAAGAGAGGATAAAAAAATATTGTGAGATTTGTTCAAACTTCAATTGCAAATGTCAGGTCTGTTCATGTATGGTTGATACCATTGTGTCTTGCAGACCTTTTTTGCTATTACAAAGTAATGATATATTTTTCATCATAAAGGAATCCACCAAAAAAAAAAAAAGTAATAATATTCTGTCACTCTGAATGCCAGAATGATTGAAAACAAAGCAAAACCAGCTAAGCATTAAAAGTAATCCAGTACTCATATGATTTGAGAGAGAAAAACTAACTACTTTGGTATCTGTAGGATTTATTCAGGATGTTCTGCTTGTTTTTTGCTAGCAGTGAGTGACACAATGCCATAAGACATGCAGAAAAGATGTCTTGACAGCATAACGTGAGAGCAGACGTGTTGCCACCATGTCATTGTAGGAGCCCAGATTCAGAGCTCCTCTAGTTTAAACTGTTGCTATTAATCCCCAAGGCTGTTCTTTTGGCTCAATACTGCCCCAGCCCTTTTTTTTCGTTTTTTTTCTGCAGGGAAGCATAAAGAAAGTAATGCATAAAATCTTTTTCCTATTAACAAAATGCAAATTTTGTTGCCTACAGTCTTTTCTGTTTTGCTTCTTTCCTTCTGCTGTAGGAAACTAGGACTTCCTCTGAGAGTATTATTTCTGTACCTGCTTCAAGTACATCAGGTTCCCCAAGCCGTGTGATCTATGTAAGTGTTTCTCTGTGAAATTCATTCTCTGAGATGGGAATAAAAAAACCAACTCATCCTTCCTCCTACAGTTCAGCATGTTATATGGAAATTAAGCATCTCCAAAGCATTACAGTTGATGGTTCCTCCAAAATGGAATCTCACATTTTAAATGTTTGAATCCTGCATTTAACATAATAGGACAGTGGCACTTACACTCTATCTTTAGAATTTACCACTTACCACTATAGCTAGTTTATACCAAAGAATACAGAATACTACAATGCTTTCTAAAAACAAAAATTTAAGTAAACAGTGTAGCCCATAGGTAGATTGCAGGCTTAGATTTGAACACGCCATGTCTAAATCTAGCCCCGAGTCTGCATTTGATTGCTTATGAAAACACTCATGTCTGTGATTACAGGTTTCAGGCCCTGACAAGCTTCGGTCCCTGACTTCAGAGGACCTTGGCCCCAATCTAAGAAATGCTAGCTTTGGAAAACTCTTCAAAGAGACTTCAAATAACTGAACAAATATGATAAAAATTGATGCTGAGTATTTTTTCAATACCAAGTTCATCTCACTTAGAGTACTCTAGATAATGGTCATGGGTAAATTCTTAAGATCATAACTGGAGTATGTACAAACTATCCACAGGTGTGGTATGCTCCATACAAGCGTCTCTTTGAGCACCTCAGTATTGCCAGGACTGTGCTCTTCATCCTCTCCAGCACCCCTCAGGAAGGCAAGTCATTCTCGACCAGTAATACCATATGCGGAGAAACTGCTGGAGCTGCAGCTTGCTGCCAGAGGGGTCGTTAGACTGAGATGAAGGCCTTTTATTTGCTACACCGAGACAAGCAGAACAGTGCCTTGGAGTCAGATTTGTCTCCTTTCTTCAGATAGAATTTATTTTAAACTTGGTATACACTTTGTCTGAGTAAGCCTGAGTTAGAGCTGTAGGAACTACCCCCTAAATAAAGACTCATTGGTATTTCTAGGTACTCCTTCCAGCAGAAGTCCATGCTGGTGGGTGGCAGAGACATATGCCCAGTAAAAAAAAAAAAAAAAAAGAAAAAAGAAAAAGAGGTAATTGACACAACTATTATGAAGACAAGTCATTGTGCTAACAGACTATTATCATGTAAGCATTTTCTGGGGCCAGATGGTCTGTATTTCTCCAGCAAGTGCCATTTTATTGTTTTTACAAGTGAGAGTATTCTTCTAAGAGTTATGTGGCATTTATCTAATCGTATTGTTTTTCTTAATATTTGTGATTGCTTCTTTAAATATGCTTCACAGGCTGTTTTGCACTCAAGGACAAACCTCCATTTTCTTTTTTCTTTTTTTTTTCCCAAAGGATATCATTAAATCAGCACACAGTCTAATGTTTGTTATTGTAATATGCACCTTTAGAGGCAGCTGGGACTGTGAAAGAATAAAGTTCTCTAGCAAATATGAGTCAATTAGGAAAAAAGATTCCCCAGAGGCGTGTGAGTTCTTGCTATATCTGTCTCTTTTATGACCACTTAATTGTCAGTAAGATGTGAGATTGATTAAATTCCATTTCAGCTTTCAAGAGGGAAAAAGGAAAGAGAATTAAAAACATGTTACTGGACTTCTGTATCGTGAAAACAATTCTTTGGCTATCTTTTGCATCTCTCGTTAATTACAGAACTGTTAGACAATCAGGCGTGTTCCAGCTTCAGCTTAGGTGCATTTTCATCATTGGTTTAGCCAAATCTAAATTCATGCTGTCATGGAAAAGGAAGGTCCTGCCAGCGTGTGGTCCCATCCCTCCCAGCCCTGTGTCCTTGCTCCTCTTAAGTACTAGTACTAGTGGGAACACAGGAGTATGGTCAGTCAGATTGGAGACCAGATTCTGCTAGAAAAGGGAAAAAAAAGAAGATCCAGTTGTCTACCTGGCCTTAATGTTAATGTCACAGCAGAGAGGGAAGGTGCCCACAGGGCAGCCACTTCAGCAAGAGCATGGATTTAGATTATTTAAACCAGCAGTAAAACCGTACCTTAACAGTGGGGAGCTCTTTAAAGTATCCTGTTGGAGAAAATAGTGTGGAGAAAAGAGCTAAAGTGCAGGAACCGTGAATCCGTATGTTTTAGAAGATGTCAAATCAGAGTGCTACAAATGCTGGGAACAACGTGGTGGCTTCACGGGAGGCATGTTTCTGGGTTGTGCTTTAGTGCTCGGCTAGGGACAGATGAAGAAAGCATGATTCGGCTGAGCCTGCACATGGTTCACACAGTCCATTTACTAAAGCCAGAGCTCTCTCCTCTTTCTGCTGATATCAGACCTTGCTGGCTTCTTGCCCTGGAAGAGGGCTCAAGCCAATGGTCTTGGAGGGCGTCTTTTCATTAGCCTCAATTTTGGCTGGATTGTATCCAACCTGGAATTTACTCCAGTGCCGAATCCCTTGGGAGTCCCAAAATACTGGTTAAAAACAGTTAAAACAATTAATTTCTACATTATGCCATTAAATAGGACTAAAATAATAGTCTTTTTTTATACACTTAGCCAAATTTTACCCATAGAGAATTAGAAGCTCTCTACAGAGATGCATCTGACTGGAAAGCTTAGTTTAGGTCATGTAGCTATGTTGTACATTCTCATACTAGGAGTAGAAATCACATTATACTGTTGTACAGGATCATATTTGCAATTATACAATTTAACATTACATATTCCACATGACACCAATATTCTAAACTTAGAGCATGATTTTATCAGAGCTGAAAAAAATGGATTATTGAAGAAATGATTTCAAGTCTCTTAGCCATAATTGAAGTCTTCTGCAATGGTATTTAAATGGTATAAATAATAATGGTATAATAATAATAGTATAAATGAATATTGCATTCATTTATTTGAAAGTTGGTAAAAACAAATTAAATGAAACATTTATAAATGAAGGATTTTTTCTTTTTTTTTTTTAATCTGGTTTTGCCTACGTTGATGTTTAAAATGAGAGGAGTTATATAACTCAGTAACTTGTCACTGACAGTACTAAAGTCTGTAGTTGGGGGATTCCATATTGCTCTTGTACGTGGAGAGACAAGGATTAAAATGACTATAATTCACACTTGCATGTAGATGTTCAATTATGAACTTCAGGTTCACTGAAATAACCTGCACAACCTTAGATAATTTAAAAAATGATCACAGCCTGCTTGGCCTTCAATGTAGGCTGCAACACTGTCCAAAGTCCCAACATACTGACCCTCCTGATCTTTGAAGGACCTGTCCCTGCATCACAGGTGGCAACTGGCTTCTTAAAAGGCTTTTGTGGCTGCTGTCACAACACCTCTGCTGGGAAGGAGCTATTTCGTTGCTGTTTAGCTAAAAGAGCTGCGAGGAAGGTGATATTTTTAGATCACTCTTAAAGAATCATTTATTTGATGATTTTTTTTTATTAAAAAACACATTTTTATAACACACATATAAAACACATTTTTATAAAAAAAACACATTTTTATTAGCTTTTTTTAAGATGAGAATTTGCGATGTTTTTTTTCCCACCTCAATGATTAGAAGGGATCTTCCTCCTTCCCATGTTGCCAAATGGCCTTACTTTTGCACTAATTCATGCACTGTTTTACAAAAAGGATAAATGAGTAGTTCTAATTTGTAGTTCACTAAATCACAGCACTTCCCTGAAAAGTCTGTTGCACTTTTATTATAAAAAATACAATCAGTGCTTAAATATTGGTTGCCTCCTGGTTATTTTCCTTTTGGCACATGGAGAACATCATGGTTTTACTTCAGGTAGTACTGACATTCTTAGAGAATAGTGAGATTCACTACTCTCTATTTACTGTTTTGCTGCCAAGAAAGAACTTATTATTTTGCAAGCCTGAATTGGGAATAGGATAATTGTGCTGCCTGTTTCTCCCATGTCAACTTGTCATGATATCTACAAGGACAGTAATGCTGGATATAGTTTTAGGGCACATTATCATTATCCTAACTGTGAAAATGGGTAGTTAGTCTTTTGGAATAAGGGCAGCAAAAAGAGCGGGGAGGGAAGCAGCTGCCAGGGAGGGAGAGAAGTCTTCCCTCGGTTGGCTGTGTGATTATCATGGAAGGATTAAACTGCATCTGTGATCTTCTGAACTAATGCAGCATGATACAAATCCAACATCTGCTGGTTTTGTGATCAGCAATTAAAGGCTACTTAGAAATAGTCAGAAACGGAGATGAAGCTGTGGCATTCAGCTGAATGGAGATGATTAAAGACCTGCATGATGTTTTCCAGTATCTAGAGGGTACGCATTGGAAATACATCTCTGATTATTCACTACAGCCTCTGGTAGGGGAACCTCGAACACCAAAAACACTCTATAATCAAAGGCATTTAGCCTGAGAAAGACTGCAATATTTTTCCAATGTATCTCTCTGTACAGTCAGCTGTAAGCAGGATATAACCAAGGGAACTACAATAATATCATGTTAATCTTATTAGTGAAATGTGAATGACAAAGTAGAAAACACCAGTATATAAAAAGAAAATAACAGTAATATTCTGGATTGCTTATGTTTATAAGCTATTTAGATTCTCACAGATATAGGAGGTAATTTATTAATATGATGATTGACTTTTCTACCAGCATGTATCTATCCTTTTCTGATTGCATCCTGATCATATTCCTTCTTATCCTCACTTCTTTCTTTCCTCCTTTTCTTAGGCAAAGCTTGGAGATGAAATTCTTGACTACAGGGATTTGGCTGCTCTTCCTAAAAATAAAGCCATCTATAACATTGACCGCCCAGATATGATCTCCTATTCTCCATATATCAGTTACTCTTCAGATGACAGGCATAGTTATGGGGAGGTACTGAAACATGGGTATCTTTTTACTGTGAATTTGAAATTTTATGAAATTTTATGATCATTAAACATGCTGCTGAACACTCGTAAATGCGCATAATTTAAAAAAAAATCTTTCACAAATTCACTTACTTGGATCATACTATCCATTCATTTTCAAGGCATTTTAGTCTTTCCAGAAAGAAGTGCCTTTCATTTTCTAGCACATGGGAATTGATGCATTGCTTTCTGTGATTGTTTTTTTTTTAAACAGATGACATGTAGTGAAAAATGTATTTTTCTGAGAGGCATTGTACATGCATGTGGTTTAAAAAAAAAAAAAAAAGGAACAATTGCTAATTACAATGCAAAAATCAGAAACCAAGCCAAATGTCTTTCATGCTTTTTTTAAGTGTACTATGTTATTTTGGTAAAACAACAAGGGTATCACTTCTGTATGCACAAATTTCTTTCAGTTGTCCCATTGTAAAAGTTCATCCTCATGTCATGCCTGCATTTCACCCTTTTCATGTGCAGAGCTGATGTTATGCAGTTTGTGCTAATGAAATCTAATTTAACTTAATCTTATTTAATACTAATTCTGTTTTATGTGAAACATGCTTGAATATAACTCCTGTTGTACAAGTGGGCCTTTTTTCTCTAACCTTTCATTTCAATCTCTGATTTCTTTTATGAATTTAGGCAATTTTTTAAATAAATTTAAACCTCTCAGCTATATTAGATATATTGGTAAGATATAGTAGTCTGCTTTGTTCTCTGTAGATATAAATAGAGGGTAGAAATAAATATTAGCAGTAATGATATATAATAAGAGCCCCAGTCCTGCAACGACTCACGCATTTCATCCATAATCAGCTGCACTCAAATCCACTGAGCTGCTCTCACGTGAAGGGCTGCACAAATCCTCTCTGCACACAGCTGAACCAAAGCAGCCCCATTGCAATGAACACCGAAAGAATCAAGATTGTATCTGGTTAAGGGTACTAATAGCATTGAGGTTTCTGAATTTATGAAGCTGAAAGCCTCCACTTAGCGGCTGCCTAGTCCTGAATCTATCTCATATCAGTGCTTCTGGCAAATGTGGTTCTTGCCACATCTGCTTTTCCCCCGGATTTGTGCTGCTGGCTCAAAGCTGGCTCTGGCAGGTCTGCTAACGTAGACATTTTTGTTGTCAATACTTCAGTGATATCTTAAAGCATGATAAAGTGGGAATCAGTCACCTGTTCCTAGGTGCTTAAACCAAGAATGGGCTCTGGGCTCTGGCTCTCAATCCAACGTGCATTTTTAGGGAGTTCCAAATTTTTATCTTCTTAAGTTAATGACATAGCCTCTCCTCCAGGTTTTAGCATCTCAGATGCACCTGTAATTCCAGCAATTTCAGTGGTAGATTTATGCTCAGGTAACACAGCAAATTGTCAAATTGTATGGCTTTAATTAAAATATATATAATATAGATATTTTTGCATTTCCTTAAAACAGATCTAGTCCTAAGTCACAAAATTTGAATCCAGTTTTTGGTGAAACTTAAGGCAGATTCATCTAGGGCTTGTGTCTTTAAGGCAACTCTCTCTAAGTGCAAGTTTCCCTAGTTCAACTGCTGCCTTCTGTGCTACAGGCCTTGCCAGACCTGACCACAGGGTTTCACAGCAGTAAAATCAGCAAAAGCTGTTTATGAGGGGATTTACAATTTGTTCTTCATCATCTTGTACAAAAAGCAAAGAAAAAGGAAGGTACTCCTAGCTTGATTGGCAGGTGTTGCTCTTAACCGTTATCGAGTTATACGTGGATATTGCTATTTTAAGAGCAGTTGTTCTCACAAGTAACATCATGCATGAATTTTAACCACTAATTTGTGACTTTGTGTGTTGCTGTTTGCAGTCACCTCAGTTGCTCTCTCCAACACCTACTGAGGTAATCCCCAATGCCTGTCTTCTCCCATTCTCACCCATTTCGTGATGCATTAAACCCTGCTGCAGGCATAAGCAGCAGAGTCTGCCATGAGCGCCTTGCCTCCTGCCTCGACAGTGCATGGGGTCTTGCCATCTCTGTTCTAAATCGTGTTACTTGTGCTGAAAACGTGCTCTGCTTTGGGATTGTCATCTGTCGCCACTGCCACCCATGTTTCCGCTTCCCGAAAGGAAGGTTGTACTGTGATCGCTTCTTCAAGCTCTACTAAATAAACTACATTGGGAAGCACCATTTGGTTTTACTTTTAGAGATATCAGCATGAGCTGACCTTGATGCTTGGCATAGCTTTCTCTTCCTTTTTTATTTACTTATTTCTTAATTTCATAAATAGTTAAATGAATTGCACTGTTTATATAACATACTGTTAATTTCTTTTTGTACATATCTAAATTTTTATGTTTGTGTATTCTGATGAGCATAAATGGTCAAAAACAGTCAATTCTGTTTCAAACAGTATCACTTTAGAAGCAGTGAAAGAATTTGACGTACCTTTCCAGATGTGAACTCAACTGAACATTGGAGGGGGCTCATTACCCCAGTTTTATGTTAGCAGAAATGTGATGAAAAACACATGATAACAGGGGAGAATAAGGTGTAACAACAAGTTGGGAATTTCTGTTAAGGGTTATAAATCACCAGTTGGCACTGTCAGCACTGAGCAAAAAGAGAAGTTAAGCAACAGAAATGTGATCTGTTTGATAGCTTAAAAATAAAAGCATGCTCTATTTGGTAGTGGATTTCTTTAACTTGGTTGACTATTCCTTACATAGACAAAAGTATGGTTTGAAACTATCAATGTGAAATCTTGGTGTTTCAGAAGTATAGTAATTCCCTTTGAATAAGCTATCTGTTAGCTAACTATCATAGTGTTAATTCCAAAAGTGATGTTGATATGGGGCTCTATGCAGCTGTGATTCACATTGCATGAATTCTGCCAGGTTATCCAGCTTTTCCATGTTTGCTGCCTTTCTCTAAAAAGTCTGTGATCAGGTGCTCAAGTATCTGCAAATTTATGTCAACAAGTTTGTTGCATGGATTTTATTAGCAGAAAATTTCACAGGGACACTTTATAATCATTCTTATGAGCTGACATTCTTACGGTGTTTAAAAAACTTTGAAGACTTTCCGGAGACGTTGCTGTACTCTTTGCAGGAGTTAGAAGAGTTACTAAATATGTGACTGCTTAAGGGCAAAAATATCTCAGGCTTGGGGGAGTTGGTGGCAGGATGCCTATACAATGCTACATGCTTAGGAAGACATCAGTTGTTCTCCCTTTTCTGGACATTTTTTACTTGAACTTCATTTTTAAACAATAATGCTACCTACCACTATACAAAGCTTTTTCCATTTTTTTTTAACATAGTTAAGTGAGCCTGGGGTGAGATGAAGGGGATGGAGCTCTCATGAGCCAGAGGAAAGGAACTGTTAGCTGGAATGGAAGAACACTGTACATCTCTGTAGGTTCAGGGATAATCCCAGAGCAACCTAGTGGGAACTGCAGGCAGGAAGAACCTCGAATGAATGGCTGGATATAATTAAGTTGCCCCCATTGGAATCTGGAAGGTGATGATATAGCTGGGTAGGATCCCCCATCTCTATAAATGATGAACAATCCAGTGGGAGTCATGTAGCCGCCTAAAGATGACCCGGGAGCCATGACAAGCTCCGGACAGCTGCTCTGGGATGGCATGTTCCTCCCTCGCGCCTGCCGGAAGAGTGGGGGAGCGTTCCTTGGAGTGTGGCTTTCTGATAGGAAGCGTCCGTGGGCTGCTCAGGTTTGCTCTAATTTGGACTTCACTCAAGCCGTGTCTGAATTGTATAAAAAGAAACAAGATAATTGAGTTTGGTTTTGTACCTAGTTTCCATGAAGTCATTTCCACATCTAATTTGTTCATTAATGGTTTTCCTGTTAAGGAGACACTACGTGATAATTAAATTTATAATTTAACTAGCAAGATAAAGGGATTTTAATGGGTGTACAGAGTTTTAAGTTGTCAAAGTCAAGTTTTTAGTAGGAGGAGGCCATGCGACTTGTGTTATACAACATCACAATACTAATTTTAATGTTGTATATCCATGTTTATATCATTTACTTTGCTAATAATAACCATGTTTTATTTGTAGTATGGTATGCTAGGCATTTATACAGCAGGCGAATAGATTTTGTGAGATGATCAAACCAATGAGTGCTGATTTTCTGTTGTCTGTAATCATTTTACTGTATTATGTAGCCATTCACACAAATGCAAAGTGCCCATAGCATAATCATGCTACTTCATGTCATTTTTCACTTGCTTTTGTTAAAACACTATAGAAGATGGAAGAGAGTGGGTAATTGCATGGTACTGAAGCAACATTTTTATGACGAGCTGTCACTTTAAATTCATTTATGTGTTAATTTTCCAATTAACATGACCATGTTCTGATATTTGGTAATTGCACAGGTCCTTGCATCATACTGCAGTGGAGGTGCTCATGGCTGACAGCTGCCCTAATTTTGTTGGGATTGCATGGAGCGTTACGACAGAATCTAGTGTTTTCTACCAGGCACCGAGAGAGGCCTGTTCTTCCTGTTTTAAACGTGATTTCCCTTTTGTAATGACTTATATTTTTCTCCCTTGCTCTCAGGGTGACCAAGATGATAGATCTTTCAAACAGTACAGGACATCGAGTCCTAGTTCTGCTGGCTCTCTGGGTTATGGTCGCTACACTCCAACATCCCATTCTCCTCAGCATTACAGCAGACCAGGTAACTGAGAAGCAGCCTTATTTATTCTCTAGATTTTTCTCCAATTTATCCTCATGTTGAAAGTAGAGAAGACACTGACAGGCAGTTTTTAAGTAGAGTGGTGGTTCATTACAGTATTTTTTAATGTAACATGGGAAAGGAGGAGACAAATGCTTCAGGTGGGATCATCTAGGGGAAAAAAAAGCATCTAGAAAATTTGCTGTATCTGAAAACAAAATTTAATGTACTAAAAAGGTCTCAATCCTGATCCCATCCTTCCTGAAACTACACAGTCGAACCACAGTTCTTACACCATGCAGCACGGTAGCAGTGAGCGCACAAAGTCATGAAGGTGCTTGGGTGACTTCGTATTCTTGTTGTACTGCAGGGTTATAGTCCATGGTGGACTAGTCTATAGTCCATAGTGCAGACTTGGAGCTGGAGGAATGGCCAGGGAACCTCCTCACTGGCTGGTTTTTGAAGGCCGGAGTCCTTTAGTTGAGAACCTTATTGCAATGTTTATTACAGCTTGGGGCTATAGTAGGAGCCCTGTTGAAGTTCTAGTTGCACAGAGAGGAGAAATCATCCATTTTAATCTTGGTGTGGGTGCCCTCTTACAAAGGCCAGTTCATATTTGGACTTTATGAAGAATTTGGCCTTCAAAATAACCAACTACTTTACTCAAAATCCTTTCCAGCTTTTCTCCACTCCATCATCTGGGCTGAAAACACAGAAACTTTCTGTTATTTTCTCAAAGTCTTTTAATTTCATTAGGAATACATTAAAATTATAAACAAGTTTGAAAAAATTGAGAGTTCTTCATCTTTCCAAATTATATGGGTAGCAGAAACAATTTTTGCAGGAAATGAATACTGTGCTATATAAAGTCTTTGATGAGCTGGAAATTGGATTGAGTATCAAAGATCTGTTAAAGAGAGGGAAAATTAGACTGAAGATCTGGCAGTTGCGTCATGTGGAAGCTTAGCTGCACACTATTAAAGCAAGGAGAAATGAGGAAATAAATTCCAGATTAATTCTAATGTTTTACAACTTTAATGAAAATTTCAAAGATAGTTATTGTAATTGACATTTTTATGTTAGTTCTCCAAAATATTGTTACCAGGACATTATTACAACAAAGAAAACAAATAAAGATGATTTTGAGAATGTTTTTTTGAAGTGATCACACATCTAACCTTCAGAGCTCAAATAACTTCAGGATCATTCTTCAAATGCTTAAAGTTTGCCATGCACTTGAGTGGCCTGGTGCTCTGCAGACCAAATCCCTCCAGTAGGCACTGATGTTGTTGAGAACTGAACCCACTTGTAGCACAGTTCTCGCCAAAGCACAGGCTCTGCCCATTTCATTCCATTAGATTCATTAAAAGCATATATCATGCACTCTTGCAGCTTTTGAATATGCAGATTCTCCCGTGAGTGCAGCTATGCTCTTTGTGGTGCCTTTTCTGGAATATTTTCTGATGTGTTACATTAGCAGCATTTTATACGGCTCTCTCTGTGTCTGTATCCCTTGGCCAACCACATAATATGGCCTCCTAAAATCTACAGAATTTAGGAATAACCAGAGAAAGATGAACTCTTAAATATAACCTATATATTTTCCAAGCATCAGGAGGAAAATGTTCCTGAAAAAGAAAATGGCATTGTAATTTGTGGCTTTCAGTAAGTGAACTAAATAGTCTATTTTCACTTACTCTCTGTTGCCCCCAGCTGGTACTCAGACTCTTGGTACCAGTAGCTGCATCTCCCTGCCCCAACACCCAAGCCTTACATCTACATTCAGACATCATTACATCCCTTTCTTCAAAGGTAAGGTTCAGGAATGCAAAACCGTGCTGTGATAACTGTAGATTTATTCAGATGTGTTTCACTTTTATGTTTGTGCAAGCATGGCTTACACTTGGATAAAATTTGTCTTAATTTTGTGCAAGTGCTTTCTTGATGTACTGTGTAAGTTTTAAGAACAGAGTGGGTATGAGTTGTCTTATTTTTGCTTTTTTTTTCAGTGAACGCTAAGTGTTTCTCAAAGGGGTGGAGGGAAGGAATAATGCTTTCTAATGAAAATGAGGAATGGAAATAATTTAAAATTATGTTCATGCTAGGATAGAGCATTTACCTTTCCCCATTTTGGTGAAGCTAAATAAATGTTGGCTCCATTGGCTACAACAGCGGATAATCAATAATCTAACCTTTGAAACGACATTTAGAGATTATGTTTATTATTTGTATTATTAACAGAAATTATGCCAGGTTTGACAGTTAAATCAGTGTAGCAGCAATAATTAGCTAAGTATCTGTGCTAGATATTAAAAGTATTAAAAGTATCTGTGCTAAATATTAAAAAACATTTACTTGAGTTTTATCACCATCAAAATGTTCTGCACTGGATATTAGCTGTTAGTGACCTGCATTTTGCAGAGAGGAGACAGTAATGGGGAAATACAATGAATCTTTTAGGCCAAATCTGTTTTTGTTTGGCCAGTTAATCAAATATGAGTAAGCAAAGACATTCAACCACCATGTCCTCCCCTGAGCCTGTCCTCAGAGCAGGGAGGAGACATGAGCGACAGACATTCCCAATGACCTTTCCCTCTCTCTCATGTCCTGTTTGGATTAATAAAACAACACTGTTCTTCTTGCCATCATAACCCTTACTGGAAAGGAAGTGACCCTCGGCAGGAGCCAGACTCATGAGCAGGTCTGACATACAAACTCAAATGAGTAGCAGATGCTCGTTGCCTGTGGAAAAGCAGCTAGCGCATCTTAGCAATTAGCAATTCTGTTCAAAGTCAGATGAATTTCACTGGAATACATGGAGCAGAATCAGGCAAAAGTCTTCCGAATTTGGAGGAAAAGCTGTTCATCTCTGACCTATTCTCACGTGTGCACACGTTTTGGGGAAGGCAGACACACATCCTGGTGTTCCTCAAGGCACGGCTTCAAGAGCTTTTCTCTGGGTACCCTCAATACTGTTGTCCTGAGTCTCTGAATGAGTCGCTCTTACCCCAAAGCCGTCTGCAGTTGCCTAGCAGCACTCGTGCTAAAGTCACTCTCCGCACGATGCTGCCTGCTGTTGCTCAAAGCAGCAGCAATTACCTATTGCTCTTGCCTGGGAAAACAGATCGTCGAGCAGCAGCTGCTAGTGCCCAAACAGTTACTAGCCGACTGGTCAAAATTAGAGTATATTGCATTTCTGCTGCACTTTTTGTCAATGAGCTAAAAAACACAGTGCAAGCTCCTGCTTGCAGTGCCTTGCAGCACTCCTGTGAGGAGGGTGTGTATGGATATGTAACATATATCCATAAGCCATGTAAGCCTGAGCCCTGAAGGGATTACACAGTTTGCCCATTGCTTTCCTCTGACTTAACATCTCCGTTCAAAAGGAGTGAGAAGATTTATCCCCATCCTCTTTCTGTTTTCCTGGTCCTTTGCTCAGAGGTGAAGGCGCTCTTCTTTCCTTACCTTCATAAGCCTTTTGAGGGCAATGATGTGCTGTTTCTTTTGTCTTCCAACTGGTTAGTGTGGGAAGAGTGGAATCAAGAATAGTTGCTTTGTTGCAGACCAAGGTTAATGTTGCCACTTCTGTTTTTAAAAGGTGAAGTCATGCTCTTAAAAATAAAAATATGGTTAATAATACTGCAGCTAATCTTTGTAAAGCCAACTCTCCACATTCATCATACAAAATCTTTCTTTAAACTTCCAGGAGAGAGAAATTTCATTACTGTAGCGAAATCAAAGCAGTCAGAATCTGACTTCCTTGAGTTAGTCTCTTACTGTTCCCAAGAATGACATAGTTCTTCATTTCTCTTACAAGAATATGATAACTGCTTTTCTGTTCTTTCTTCTGTACTCTTTAGTATGGATCTCATAAAGAGTAATAGGTTCAACTCTTCCTTATCATGAAATTTTGCCTTTGAATTGAAGAAGTAACTAGATTCTTGCACTGGAAAAGCATCACAGTCCCTTGTGCCCATCAGAGTCGAGGGTGTGATTGATAGTCAGTGTGGTCATGCTTGGTGTAACTGTTGGGCTGCAGCGATGGAGTCAGTGAGCATAAAGCCAGTGTTGAATCCTACTGAAAAAAAACTCAAAAGTGGTGGAAAGTGCCTTGCCCTTCTAGGGTATGAGCAAAGCTTCCAGATTCGATTTATTTGGTGTTGAAAGTTTGAAAAGAGTAAGTTACCAGACTTGAGGTATCTTTGTCTTTAGGTCAGTGGTGTCTGTATTGTTCATCCTCACTCAGGAAACTTGCACAACTCTCACTGTAACTTTCTAGCTATTTAATGAATTTGCAAAAATATTATTAAATTTCCCCTCTTCCCAGATAAGATAAAAGCTGACAAGGGGGGAGGTATAAACTTTATACTGTTCCCTGGCAATTCCCTGAGCAGGACGAAAAGGGACTGGGCTTGGAGATCTGCTCGGTTCCTGCCTGTGCGTGAGGGTAAAAGGGCAGCCTGTCCTGTTGGGAGCCAAGGGACACAAGAGGCTTTCTGTGGTTGATGCTTAAGTTCAAAGTAAACCTTTCCAGATTCTTTCCAAATTAAACAAAACAGTCTCCCGGGAAGAGTTTGTGATTCCGGTTCTCTGCCCCGTGCCGAGTAGCAGCTCAGATCCCCGCCTGCAGCTGCCGGTGGCAGGAGACCAAACCAGAGCTCTGAAAAGCTGCTTGCTCCAGTAGTTTTGTTTTCTCTGAGACCTTATTTGAAGCTCATCTTTGTGTCTGCCAGGCAAACCTTAAGAAAGACAAATTTGTGGGGAAGTCTTGTTTTAGAGATTTTTATTATAGAGCGGATTAAATGACTGCCTCGACTTTCTACACATAGACTTCCTATCTGGACCTTCACTTTCTTTTATTACTAAGTAATTTGTGTGCAAAATGTGAAATACAGCTACTCATTTGTGTTTGACCAAATAAGTGGCAGAATTTTAAATATAATCTAACTGATTGTACCTTGTCAGAGAGGGCTTCAAGATTAACCTTTTTTTCTCTTATTCCACCCTTTATTCTTCCCATTTAAGTAAGTTTTATGTGATGGCTCTGCAAACTGCTCCATGCAGGTACAGCAGTTTGCAGATTTGTTGGCCTATGTCGTGTGTCCTTGCATCCTGTTTTCTTGCAAATTTAATCCTCCTAATCCATGTGTTCTCCTGAGTCCCTGAATATGCTACTGACAGCCCAGTGTCAAAGCATAACTTTTTGTATGCGTGTAACACCTTCATCTTGGGGTGCTAAAGTGACTATTCTATACTGGCCATACACGAATAAGGGGTTCTATTAATATGCTAATTTTAAGTAAATGAAGAATAATTACACTGCAAAAATCAATTGAAAACTTTCTTTTTGTTTAATTAAAGCGTTTCAACTTGAGATGAGTGACACTGCAAGATTTTTAGTTATTGACATTGTAAGGGACCTTACTTTAAAAAGTAACTAACACTGTTCCTTGCTGTCCAACTTAGAGTGAAATTAAGGCTCCTTCTTATTTAATAAGGTAGGGCTCTAGCACCTGAGGAGCAGGCAGCAAAGAACAAGAGAAATAATAACTACATAGTGAAAACTGCCACCAAGGATTTCCTTCCAAGAGGAGAACAGTGATCAACAACCTGAATAACCGTTTGGCTCCTTGTCCGAGGACAGTTTGTCTGCAGGATTGGTGGTGCTTCAGATTTCCAGTCATTCTGTAACTCTTTGTGGAAGAGTGGTGGTCTAACATCATGTGCAGTGGTAATTTCGATGTTTAAGCTACTCTGATTCTGGAGTATTGCTGGGGTATTTTTCCAACTGGAAGCTGTTGTTCTTGAGGACATGATGGCAATGGCTTGATAGTTTTGGAGTTACAATTTTGCACCAACTGTGGAAACAACAGGCCCAACAGATTAGCCAATGGCCATAAGATAAAGAGCACAATAAATAACCCTCCTTCCCTTCGTTCAGACCAGCATTCAGTGACAGATCCGGTGCTCTAAGTAGTTCTCCTTTCTTTCTCCCAAACAACTTGCTATAATTTCATCATTAATATCCATTAAGTTTGTGCTCCATCCACACTAAAACTGTAACAACAAATAATCAACTGTTTTATGTTAAAATAAATGTCATGTTTGGCTTCCAGTTGCTTAACAGTGCCATAAATTAATTGGATTTTACAAGTCCCAAAAAAGTAGAGCTTTACTTTTTTGTTTGCCAAGCAGCACTATAATGCCATAGAATTTTGGAGAGATAAATGGAGAGGAAATAAATAGTTCCCAATGAGTATCTGACAAAATAAGAAGAGAAAATAATATATCTCAATACTGTGTATACCTTTAATATTTTGCCAAGTGGCTATGGCATTATAGATCCATGACTTGATAATCCAACCCTGTTTGCATAAATGTGCATAAATACTGTGGCATGCTACCTGTGGGGAAAGCTTAATTCAAGGAACACCAGATTTCAGTATCTGTTTTTGTCATTGATAGATGCAGGAGTATTTGATTTAACCATAACATTAGTCTAGTCTTGCTTTTAGGCAATTTATTCATTAATGGTTTTAAGAGCAGGGTATAATGCTATAAGCCATAGCATTAAACTTCTCAAAAACACAACTGATAGATTATTCACTTAAGGCTATGCAAAACATAGGATTGTGAATGTTTTTATCCTTTTATTTTCTGCATTAAAGTATTTTTAAAAGAAGTAGGGGTGCAAAACTTCAGTTTAATCTGATATTATAACCATTTATTATTTATGAGCTAGTTGAAAACTAAAATTAATTCTGTTTGGAGACTGAGCCAATACACTGCTGTGCTGGAAAATAATGTCTTCTACACAACCCATTCATTTTAAAAAGTTGGATTAACAAGTCATTCTGAAAAAGCTTTTATGCTTGAAATACTCTACTTTGCTTTCCATTTTTTTCTTTTATCTGCTTTCTTTGCTCTTCCCCTTGGAGGCAGTGAAAGTGGTCGGAGCACTCCAAGTTTATCCATGTACTCAGACAGCAAATCTTCACCTTCTGTCTATCAGCAGGCTCCTAGGCATTTCCATATTCCAGGTAGGCATTCACTGCTTTGCTTTTGATCTTCAATTGCTGGCACCTATTTGTTCTCTTCTGATTGTATTATTTTTCACTGATTTGTGAAATTAAGAGCTGCAAGAAGAAAACTTCTGATGAGCGCAAGTCCGTTGTCTGCTAAACTCCATCTCAGAAATAGAGGAGTTAGTGTTTTGTGTGGTTATGTATAAAAAGTTTGCATTAGTTGAGCCATACAATGACAGGTGTTATTAAACCTGCAAGGATACAACTGCTTTTAATGCCACAGCTGCATAGTCTATTGAATGGAGGAGGGAAGGCTGAAGGATTTTTTCTATTTTATTTTTGGTTTTCCCTTATCTGTCTACTCTCTGAACTAGAGTCACAATAATATATATGTTAATAAGACAGATGAAAAGCTTTGGGTCATCATGGAATAACTGTGTCCATGTATACATACTGTACCATGTTCAAGCTTACATTCAGTTTAGAAGCACAAAAAATTATGTCTACACTGTTTAGGTAAATGAGCTTAACCCTGAAAAAGCTACTTAGTGGGATAGTATATTAATATATAGTTTTGGGTACTGACTTTTCTATGAACACATTGTAATTAGGAATTGTATTTGCTCAAGTCCACAGACCTGATTTTGACATCCATACAGCATGCTATGGGAATCCTGTACTGTGACCTTGAGGGATTACCAAAAATATCTGGAAGGCCAACTCAGTTCTACAGATCAAGCTATAGACAAGCTATGTAACATCATGTGAAGAATTTCTAGTATTTCTACTTCTAGTATTTCTAGTATAAACATCTATCTGAACACGTGCACTCTCTGATAATTAAGAAATAGTCCCTTGTCAAGCGTGACTATTGCCGAAGACTTTCCTACAATGATGCGCATTTCATCTTTAGTGATACATGTAGCCAGTCTCAGTTGACTATGAAGGATAAATCTGTAGTTTTGATGTGACCATCCACATACCAGTAAATGGGTGCCGCTTGAGGTGTTTTAAAGCATTTTGAAGGACTATTTTGAAGAGTAGATTAGGTAGGCATAGTCTATGTTTTAAATATATGTTGATGATGAGCAATACTACCTTGTCATACAGTTACCAGTGAATAACAAACCGGTGAATGATGGAGCATCCTTGCACAAGTTTGCGTTTCGGTGTTGAGGGGGCACAGGAACAACGTGGTCTAAACTGCTGCCTTACTCTTTTGTTCTTTTCTCTTTCCTCTTTCTCAGAAACGGGCGTAAAAGATAACATCTATAGGAAACCTCCTATCTACAAACAGCATGGTACAGTTTGCTTTTCTCTGTTGCAGTTTTTGCTACACATCTCTGCTACACAAAGAAATGAGTATTGACTGCTAAACTGCTTGGCTAGAGTATTTGCATTTTGTTATGCTAGAATCCCTATAGTCTAAAATGGAAAAGAAGTAACAAGAAAATTAAATACCACTTTGTATAACATGATGTCCAAGGGTTCAGTAAGTTCTCTGTAACTGGGATAATGATATTTTGCCTTATTTTGATAATTCAAATCTAATATTAACCTGAAAACATTTTCCTTAGTTTTGCAGTGAAAAAAATATGGTGTTGCTGTCCTGTATACAGATTATGCTTTAGAGTATCTAGTGTTTTTAAATAATTCTAACATTTCTGGGGGAAAAAAAAAGTTCATTTGTAGGAGACATGTATGAAATGTCTACTTTTCATCTTCAAAATCTTCAAGCTGTCTAACATCAGGAACAAATATAATCACACTATGTCTGCTAAGGGCTCTTTTTTCAATAGCTGATATCATCAGCAAGATAAAAGAGGGGAAGTTTTGATTGACCCAGCTACAAGATTGATTTCTAAGTTTCTAAACAGATATAAATATATGATCGGTGTGTGTTTTTGTGTGACTGAGGATCTGACTTAAGACTATAGTGAAAAAATGTACTTTGAACCCAAGAGTAAAATAGATACATACAAAATGTTGTCAAAGGGTTTAATAATATCAGCTACTCTTATTGCAGTGAAAATTTAGGTTTTATAGTCATTCTATTTTCAGGCTTGCAAATAGGAATTTAGTACCTGAGTATTGCTAATTAACTAGTGTGTAATGAAAAGCTAATTAATATTTAATACTAAAGTCAATTTATTTTTAGGTTATTAGAAATGTCAAGTTTGCATTCTTCCCTTAGTATTTCTGTTGTGTATCTGACTAATTAACAGCACTGCAGCTTCTGTGTTGGTGTCAGTTCCTGCCGTGTTGTCAGGGGCATTTGGCAATGATCTTGGCTCACGATGCAGATGCACTAACACAGAATTCATTTTTCTAAACTAAATTCCGTTGCTAATCTTTCAAAGCGAGTGTGTGGGGATTATCTTGTTTGGAAGACCTCGGCTTCCTTGCTGCTTTGCTATGCTGTTTAACCCCAGCTGCCTTACCAACTCTCTGGACCTGCCATTCCCCAGTTATACAGCATTTGGAGATTTCTACACCTGGAGAAGTGGTGGGAACCACCACTGTATCCACCACCCAGGCCTTGTTTCAATAGAGGGCCTGAAAAATGAGTAACTTCATTTCCATCATTTGTAACGAAAGATCTCGCTGCTGGCATCCTCCTGTATTCAGAAGCAGAGGCCAAAAAATGAAGCACATGATATAACCTGTCCCACGTTAAAAACTCCATTGTACTGGTAGTTATTTCCCTGCCTGGAAAGAAAAGAAGGAATAAAGCAAAGCCGACAATGAGCCAGCTGAGGCTCCTTGGTGATGAAGGCAAAGCAGAGGAGAGCACATAGTGCTGCTGCTCTTCAGGGACAGGGAAGGTCCCGTCTTCCCCTTGGAGCAGATCTCTTCCCTCCCTATGGAGAAGCCTTCCCTACTTCACACTGAGCAGCTGCACGGCCAGGTCGCTGGCGTCTGCGCAGCCTCTGTGCTCGTGCTGCTTATGGTGCTGGACAGAATCAGCCTTGCTGGTGTTCCAGCACACCCTGCGTGCTGCGCCTTGGTAAACCTTTTCAGCTCACAATATCGTCATCTTGGACAAACCAATGTTATCTTTATGGAAAAAGACAGTTTCCTTTTTTTTTTCTTTACTGCTTGATTTAATATTATCAGCAAACATTACTGTCTGTCCAAGCTCTTTAATTCCTTCTTCTGTTCAGATATACCAATCATTTGTGATAAGTACTCAAAATGAGCGAAAAAAAGAAAGCTACTGACAAAGGAAAAATGACAGCAGTATTTAGAAAGATTGTGAACAAATACAGAGTTACTAAATAAGTGTCAAAATCTCATTTTGTGTTAACGTCATTCATTGTTTTATACCAACTGCTGCTATTTCTCTGATATCCGGTACTATGGCTGTGTCATTTAATGTTATACATATTTTTGGCTTGCAAAAAGAATTCTAAGCAGCAGCTTTTTTCCTTCCAGACCATTCATTTTTATAACAATTTTCAGTCACTTTGATGTGCAGTCAGACATTGGATTGTGTCAGTTTTGCACTGCTATGTCTCCACTGACTTCAGGACTAATCACTGTAGTAGAAGATCAAATTGTGGAGCCAGTACTCTCTATAGCACAACAAGTGAATGTATTTTGAACTTGTTTTTATATATTATGTTCTGAAAGGGTGTGTTGAAAATATGTGCTAGTTGTGTTTCTACTAAAGAGGGAAACATAGTTTTCCCTAAACCAAATAATCTAAATCCAATCCAAATGGCATTTTGATGTAACTCAAGAGAAAAAAAATAGAGCAATGAACTTTGCTTCCAATAGAAAGAAAAGCAGCATTTACCTTTCACTCTGGAAGGACTCTCAGCAGAGGTCGTATAAATCTTTCTGCTAAAGCAGGAACACATGCACAAGTGATGATTCAGCTCCTCAGGCTGAAGGGACCCTGGGCTAAAACATCCTGAAAGGGAGCCAGAGAACATTCCTTCGCTGAAGAAACCAAGTTTGAACAAACAAGCACAAAAATGTTTCTTAAAACAAAAGTGCAAGAAACTTGTCCAAGGCATTTGGCTTTGAAGGGTTTCAGTTACAGCAGTGCCCAGCACATTTGCTGCAGCCAGAGCTTCTGTGTTTCTTTTATAAACACCCAACTCTGGAGTGAAAAAAAGGCAGTGGAAAAATGTTGCATACGAGCGATCAGACCAAGCTGGCATAGGGAAGTAGAGAGCGCCGGAGCCTGGGAAGTCGTTCTTTGGTGTGCAGGGATTTTCCGGAAAATTTAGTTCAAAGTTAAAAAACGGAAGAGGTTGGATGCTGAGCACTGAGCCATCCATGCGAGAGGTGCACTTCACACCTGGGCTTTTGGGAACAGCAGCCTGTCCCCGGCTCCAGGGAAGCTCGCGCTTGCTGCTGACAGAAGATTTCCACTCAGATTTGTCTTTCCAGGGAGTTGCTTAACACAGTCAGGAACTTTGGGTGGGCCTTGGCAGGCCCCTGCTGGACTCTGGACCTCTGCATAAGACTCTGATGCTTAACTGAAGTCAGATCATCTCAGGATGTGAAACCTATCAGTGAAACCTATGGAGTGTCTGAATAACACTTGGGAATTTGGGGTTGTTTTTGGAGAACATCAACTTCTTGGGGGAAAAAAATGCAAAAATGCATCAGTCTCTCTATAAGAATTTCTGATTTCCTGAGCAGATCTATACATACAACCTGGAACAACTTACTGACTGCTGTCAAAGGCAGTTTCTAAAAACATCAGTGAACCACGGTTAGGACCTTATTGCAATGTAGGGATTTTGTTTTCCATCATTCCTATCTTGTTACTGATTGAACACCAATTAGGTTATTTCTCTGCAAAGTAGGTTCAGCACGGTTCAAGTCTCTGCTATTTCTTTTTCAGAGTAATAGCTTGTCACCCTAGGAGAATGCCCTTACCATTAGTTAAATGTGAAAATCTAGAACTTTTCAGAATACTGTTTTTATTTTCTGACCTAGCTTTGTTTTGACACATTAAACTGAGAACACTGCAGTTAAAAATTTCTACCTCTAACCCAGTTATGGTCAAGACATTAGATCTGTGATGACACCAGCAAATGCAGTAGAAGAGCAGTGGCATAGCAGTAGGTGGCCTTTTGCCCCTGCCATTTAATGCAGGGCAGATCCTCTGCAAACACATTGGTGGGAGATGGAGAAGGAAGAGCTGTTCCCAGCTCGCTGCAGTTGCTACAAGGACGTTTAAAGGTGCAATCTGTATTCCACCCAACCTCCGTCTCTGAGCACTCTAATGCAATCCTTAGCTTTCCTATTATCATATTTCTTTTATTAGTACTATATCTGTTTTTCCAATTACACAGTGTTGCATGGGGCCCTCACGTCACCCTCAAATTCAGGCATTGCAGACCATCACTGTGTTACCATAACTTCTCCTGGGCTTAAAATTTTGGTGGATCATTGCATTATGACGATGTTATGCAATTAAAAGTATTTCCAGAACAACACAGTGATATGAAGGCAAGCAGGACTCAGATTTGGGAAAGTTGTTTGAAATGATATGAAAGTTGTCACAAGTTCTTTCTGTAAAATAGTCTCTGAGACCATATAAGACTATCAAAAGCACATCTGATAGTTGGGAACTATTTACTGAATAGCATTTGGATTTTCTTTTCCTTGGGAAGTTGGAAACTTGAGAGAGATAAGACAACAGGTAAGTATAAGCAACACTTTTTTTGAGAAAAAAAAAAAACAGGTAATATCATAGAAAAATGGATGGTCAAGGAACTATGAAATTTAGAGTCAGTTCACTTTTGCTCCTGCTAGTGAAATGATAGCTTCATAAGAGGGTCAGCTCCCTCATGCACCTTCACACCCTTTGTACTGAATTGGTTTCTCTTCAAGAGAATACTCATGCCTGCAGCATGAGTATTAGCTCTAATTATTTCAAAATGATTTAAAATAATTCTATCACATCATAGCATTACACACCCAATTTTCTCCCCATTTTTTTAATGATTTTTTCACTTTTGAGAACATGTGAAACATTACCACAATCAAAATAGAAGGCAAAAAAGATGTATAACATTTAGTTTTTATCATTAATTTTATTATTAACTTTTATCTTCTAGCAGCAAGAAGATCAGAAGGGGAGGATGGAAGTTTGGATCAAGATAATAAGAAGGTAATGACCAGAAGGACCAAAAGGAGGGATGGATGTTTCTTGAGGAAATTGTCTTTTAAAATGTGTTTATATTTAAAGATACACCTTTTATAACTGAAATAATCATGCTGATTTTAGTTCTTTCGAGAAGACATAGGAAAATATGATCTCTGTATTTTGCAGTTAAGAAATAGGGATATTAAAATTACCAGTACTAAGTTGATGGAATTTCACCTAGTGTAAATATGTACCTTGAAGGTGGTTGGACTTCTGTTGAGAATGTTTGTCTACATAGAGGATAAATGTTACTGAAGAATAAATGAAAATGAAACAATACACCTTTTAAAGTGAGGTAGAGTGGACATCCTCAGCTCAGCTGAAAGTTAATTTTTTTGATAGCTATATTATCTAATGAGGAATTACATAATGTAGTGAACTTTTATAATTTAGTAGATGTTTGTTATAGCATAAACATAAAATCACAGAATCACAGAATGCTTCAGGTTGGAAGGAACTTCTAGAGATCATCTAAATCAAGTAGCAAGAACTCCCAGGCTGGTGAAGCAGGAGAATTGCACCCAGATGTTAAATCCAGTTTAACAGGATTTTATTCTCTTCAGCTGAAGAGCAGCTGGCTCACTCTGAAGGGGGATGCGGACACGAGAACTAACTCGCCGGATTCAGACACACGGTCACTCTCTCTAACTCCCGGTGGGGACAGAGAAACCTTCCTGAGGATGCAGGACAGCAGCACCACCACCACGTACTCCCGTGAGTGCCACGCGTCCTGCCTGGCGGCAGCTGCCCAGTGTGGGATCGTAGCCCTGTTTATACACATAGTTTCTGGTTTGCTTTGAGCTCCCATTCTCTATCATAGTTTACATGTTGTTAAATCTGTACAGCCGTGGCCTGTAAATGGCCTTCAGACTTCAGTTACTGGAACAATTCAAAACTCCATCTAGCAAGCTTTGCCACATGCCATATGGATGAAGGAAGAAACCATGATTTTATAGTCATAGCCTCTTTTTGTAGAAAAGACTCTGTTTCCTATTAAAAAAAACGCACCTAGTGAATGAGTAAATAAATGTGTCTACTTACATGCTAGGGAATGAGTCTTCCAAAAGAAGGTTATCCAAGGCAAGGCATGTCTGGCAGCCAAGTAAGACTTGTGGGCATCTCAGTAATGTGCGAGCTGGCTCCCTCAGCTTCTATTAAGGAAATTATGGCTTAGCTCTGCAAGGAAGAGAGAAACCAAATGCAGCAAAGTCTGTCACAAGGGCAGAAGAGGATAAAAAAGAAAAGTTATTTTGAATTATCAGACTCACCGATCTGATGATTTCTTAATCATCACCAGACACTTCATACATGTATACAGGATGTTTTGCAGGCAGAAGTGCCTCTGATGACCTCAAGCACCTAACATTTAGAAATCACTCTACAGAAATGACCACTGCAGTTTCCATTGCACATATCAGGAGCACTTAGAAGCTTTCTGGTGGTTACAAGAATATTGCTGTATGTGTCATCTACATCATCATCTATTTTTATTTATTATCTTGGGAATGTAGAACTGTGAAAACTAGAAATGGGCAATTAACAGGCACCTAGCATGGATCTCGATGATGTCCAGTGGCACCAAAGACTAAGCAGAAGAACCTGCATGTCCTTATGTCCAGCTGCTTTCTTGTAGCTTGCTCTGAACTTCTCATTAGGGTACTTTTAAGAGCTAGTGAAAAGTAGCTAAGTAGGTTTGCTATCAGCAGATTTAAACACATAGGATTCCCCACTGTGGTGGAAAATGTATGCACTAATAAACCAGGAAAGACTAAAAACCACTGGATGAGAGCATTCTTGCTTCCCTGCAACCACACCTCTGACCCTTATGTATAATTTTTGATGTCTTACCAGTTGTGGCCAATACCCAGGAATTCCCTATATCTGTACATGTAGATATTTAATAGCAAATAGCATCAGAATTCATGAATTTATGTGACACATAGGAAAGCAGACACCTAGGGAAATGTGTAACTCTTACTATTAGTATGTATCTGTTATGCTGAAAGGCAACTTCCAAATATACAGGTGAGGGTGAATGCTGTATTGGAAAAAGGGGGAGCCTTGTGTCCTTGCAGAGAGTAACTAATGTTCATAAGGTCCCTGATGAGAAAGAAAAATCACTTTATCTTGGCTGGTTGTGCCAGAACATTTGCATTAAGGATGCAGCTGCAGTTGAGCGTGATAGGGAGAGTATGTGGTTGTTGGCTTTTGCTAGCATGTTTTCCCTTTAGATTAGGGGAAAAAAAAAAAACAAAAAAACAAGAAGCAGCAAAATACCTCGTGTTTAACTTTACAAGGAAGTTAGTAGGAAGCAGAAGGAAAGTGGAATACTCTCCCATTGCAGCCAGTGGATCTTTGCCTACTGGCTTTTCGCTCATCACGGAGGCTTTATTCTCCTCCTGGATTTTTTCCAAATGGCCACAAGATGTCGCTTGTGCCCTTGGATGTAGTGCAGAATAGTCCTAGCAGCTCTCCAAGGAAGTTTCGACGTTTTCAGTCTGGGCTTTTGGCCTTTGGGTGGTGTTTGCCTGGTCCACACAGGGGACCCCACTTCTCCGTGAGACCACAGAGATTCCTGACCTCGTGACTGTCCGTGAGAGGAAAACTGATCCTTCCCTCTCCTACCCTTCTCCAGAGCCCCCAGTTACTGCACTCCTCGGTGGTTTCAGCATCAAGATTTTACCCTGTATCGTTGCTTCAGTCAGTCTCATCATGTAAAACTGGGAAAAAATATTTGAGATCGGACTAGATTTCCCTGTAGCCAAAAGGCTGAGAAATTGAACCCCTGTATTCATGTTCAACACCAATGTCTTTCTCCAGAGAATGCAATTTTTTGCAAAGTTTTGCAATGTTCACAGCGTTTTCCCATCCTTACCCTCTGGTGCCATTATAATTCAGATAACCAGCAATAGGAGGCTTCCAGTTTTGAAATGGAATAGGTAAGAGATCCATGTAGTTCAGTGTTCAGCACTTACTCCATTTCTGTGTCAGGGATGGGAATGATCTTCTGCACAGCCAAAGACAGAGGGTCTGTTTGCAGTGTACCATCCCTCTGCTGGCTGGTGCTTATGCTTCTAAAGCAATTATTTTGTTCTATATATATGTGTGCATACATATCACCTTCAATTTGCTAGATTAAATAAGTGAAGCTCTTCAAGCCTTCTTTTCTCTGTTGAGCTTTCATTGCTGTGATTATCTTGCACACCATTTCCGTACCTGAATATGAATATGAACCACTTGAATATTGAATAACAGTGCAGACAGTTCCTTGATAGTGCCCCGTTGCTGCCTGAAAATAGTGCAATTAGTTCCATGTCTCAAATGTATCAAGACAGATGTTTTTAATCTTTGTCTTCTTGCACACCAATGTGGTACTAGCACTTCATGGTCATCTTAATGCTGGTAGTTAAATTGAGTATCTAGGCCTGTCTCTTCCATCATCATTTCCAACTGATGAGCTTTCAAATAACAGAAGTTTGGGCGTTCTTGCAGGTGCATGTCCCTTCACAAATATTATTAAATTTCATCCCATTTCTATTACTGCAGTGTTCAAGGCTGTCCAAGCTCTTGGTGATATGCCAGTCCTCTTGTATATTGGCATGGCTTTATGACTTTGCACAGACAGCAGATTTCATATTGCTATTTTTTGGTGTCCAGATTATAGGTGAAGATACTAAGCAATTTCAACTCAACACTAGTCCACACAAGCCTTTTTCTTGTTCAGCACACCTCAGTTCTCACCACCCCTCTCTCATGTTATGTTATTTCCCTACCTACTGTATAATTCTTCTGGTAAACACCATCTTCTCCAGTTTTGCTTTTAATTTTGCATGTAGCAACATACCAAATACCCTAACAATATTTCGTTACATGAGAGTCACAGTTTGTTTCATGCAGAAGTCACTTCTTTTAACAAAGAAAACTACAAAGTTAGTCTGACTCTTTCTTTACCTTATATTAAACCAAGTGAAATCTGTGGGAATTACAATAGCATTTTTTTTTCTGCAATTGATTTTCTGTTTACCTCTGTTCTTGTTTGGTCTTTTCTTAAGATTTATATTGTAAGCAAGCTGATAGTTCTAGACCATCTTTTTTTCCTTCATAAATATATAAAATAATTGTTGTTGTTCTCCAGTGATGCAGGAAAAATACAAGTTACTGGTCTTGTGATTTTTTGTGAGTTAGTTGAGATTAGTTGAGATTATCAGCTCCCTGTTTAAAAGTACATTAAGCGCTTTGAATTGGTCTTGTGATTTTTTGTGAGTTAGCTGAGATTAGTTGAGATTATCAGTGTTTAAAAGTACATTAAGCGCTTTGAATTGTATTTCTTCATGACTGTAATTTCTTTGCTAAAGCTTGTCCTCTAAGCTTTTTCCTCCTTTTATCTAACCTTTGCTCCTAACAGCTGGGGTGAAGCGTTCGTTTCGTGTTGGAGCCCTACCTGGGTTACCTTTCATTCCCATGTGATGACATCACGTAACTCCTCACTGATTCTTTTCTTGCTCTCTTATGATTTACATCACTGGAAAACCTTTTTCTATTTGTTTTAGTATTGTTTTAATTGTTTAACTCAGCTTGTCTTCTGGCAGCTTATCTCACTTTATATCAGCACTTGTTGAGATGTTTGCTGATCCCTCCTTTGTTTTTCATTCTGTGTGCTTATTCCTAATCATCTCCTTAGGCTACTTATTAAGCTGGTGGGGTCTGCATTCCTTTTCTGCATTCCCCTTTGGGCACAGATTGCCAACACTTTTGACAGAAGTACATTTAGTTCTTTGTGCTAACTCTTCGCCTCAGTGTTTTGAAGTCTACTCTAGCAGGATCAAGAATGTTTGTTGCAGACACATGTTTGTTCATCTCCAAACTGATTCAACTTGTTGACTGCCTAGTTTAGGGTTGTTTTCTCAAGTCATCAGTTCTATACAGTTTTAATTTTTATTAACCAAAAAGTAATCCAAAATATTTTTTGCTGATTCAGTGACAGTGAGAATATCTGAACTTTATTACTAAACTCTCAGTATTAAAACCAAAACTTTTCAGTTGTTTTTCGCTGACCATACATGATGTCATTGCCATATTGGATCCAATTTGTTCATAGTAACACTGCTTTGCTAGTTTTGTCAGTCTTAAAGTTTTCTTCCTCTTCAATATTTATGCTTTAGCTCACTTATTTCCTTTGTCCATTGCCCTATCTTCACTTAAACTTTTTTTGTTCAAAGCAAGAGATGTTTTAAAGAAAGCAGAATATTTTTTTAAAGTAGTAGGACACCTACCCTTCCCTGTTTTGAAACAAAGCCCAAACCTCAAAAAAGACCATGTGCACCTTGAACAAAAGTGGGTGTAACTCTGAAATGATGCTACCTTTAATCCCCTTTTCATGTCATAGTTTAACACTGTTTGCATCCTGGCATGATGTGATTTGTAGACATTCTTATGCATATCTGTATACATTAAATATAGAGCAAAGTCAAGCTGCACTTGCTTATATTTCTCCTGCAAATAGGATATATGGAGTGACCTAGAATTGCGGTTTCTCATTGTTTTCTCAAGTCCTGTGTTTGAATAGGTTACAGGAGACATTACAAAAAAATACAGCTCTATATTTTGTCTCCTACAGGATTTCCTTATGCTAAATCTGCTTCTTTACCTGGCTATGGGAGGAACGGCTTACATCAGGTAGGTATACATTCTCCAGATAATACTGTATTATTAATAGCCAGCTTGGTAACCAGTTAAAAATCCACATAATAAAAACACAGAGCACTTTAGAGGGTTATAGCCCTGCGTAACAGATTTATACACTAAGAGGGTGCCACTTTGTCTGCAAGACAAAGACAGATTGAGCACCTCCTCAGCTGTGTGTGGCATGACCATTAGGAATCCTGGTTCTTCTCCCCAGACAAACAGAAAGGCAAAAAAAAAATCCTACAGACTGCACATATTAATAGAGTACAGTATAGTTTGAATTAATGACAGAAAAAGATAACCCTGTAATTGGACAAGTGAGGATCTTAGAGCAAGGGTGGAGCAGCCCACATCCATTAAATTTTTTGAACCATCTCTTCTGCCTTTTTGCAGCTTGCACATATAGGCAGTCATTGCGTTTTTAAGGCAGAGGAGAAGCAGCCCATTAGAGAGAAGGGCAGGCAACACTCGAAAGTGACCGTTTGCTGGGGTTTGCAGACTTCTGCAATGTAATACAAGGTGAACGCAGCAGATGGCAGCATTTATCCCAGCTAAAGACTCCAGCATCGCATGCTAAAACTAGGAAAGTTGAAAAGTTGGTTCATGGTCGAATCATTTAGGCCAAAATTATGGTATTCTTCTCAGAATGGAAGTTCTCTATTTGGAATGCAGATTCATAACAGTTTTTGTGCTTTGTTATTTTTATCAGTCATCCCAGTGCTGCTTAATAAAATAAAAATAAAGTAAACAAGCAGTAATGAGCCTTGCAGGTTATAGTGAGCATAGCTATGCACATAGTACTTAACCTAACATGCAAAATTCAGACATAAAAATACATGTATATATAACATTTATTTATACATACACATATATATACATACATATATACACATACATATATATTATATAGAGATTTATTTGTATATAAATTATAAATTAATTTTACTTATAAATTATAAATAAATATATTTCTATATATGTACTTATATAAACACACTCATTTCCTGGTCTGCCATTGTCACAGTATTTACCAGCAAAGAAAACAGACTATGGGATGAGCAAAGCTAAGGCACAGAGACACAGTTCTCTGAATTTACTACCATCAGCAACTGTGAAGTAGAAAGCAGGCATAAAATGAGGCATAAAATTTTCAGTGTCTCAAAAGGAATCTGCTGTCCCGTGGCTATTGCAGTAGGACATATGAATTGCAGGCAAAGGCATGTGAAATTTCCCATCTTTACTTAATGTCAGATCTGACACCTTTCTACCTCATGAAAAGTTGCTAGACATCAGAGCTTAAAACTCTGAAAGGGCCTAGGGGGTGAGTGGGGTTGATAGTGGTTGTGTGATTACCTCCCTTGGTGCCTTCCAAGGTCCACGTTCCCCTGGGCATGGGGAGTCTCCAAGCGCGACGAGCATTCATCTGACACTACATCTTTTTCTATGGGCAGAGACATCACAGAGTCACCTGATGATTAATGTTGCAAGGGACCTTTGGAGACCATCTAGTCCAAATCCCATGCACAAACAGAAATGTCTCTGCATTTGTAGACTGATGAGTTTTGTGGCTGCTTTGGATGCCTGCTTTGAGCAATTAGGTCAAGTGCTAATGAAACTTTATTTTCTTTCTCTTTTGCAAGGTTCTATGCTTTTATTGTGCAATACATGTTGTTTGCTTTTATTGTACAATACTTTTTTTTTTCCTTCCACAGTGCAAAGTGTCAGGTTTTGTTTTGTGGCATATTTTGATCTGCATTGCTTGTTTCTTTTTCTTTTAGCCTGAAAATATGGGACAATATGAACCAGACCAGGATGCCAGTTGGGGCATGAAAGGTACATTGCATATAATTTCCACCACAATTCATGTTTTCTTCCTTGGAGGATGCTGGCTAGGATCTTGCCATTAGGATTTCTGTTCGAAGATCTTCCCATGGGTGATACAATTATGAGTAGATAGTGACACAGGATTCAAGAGCAGAATATTTTTTATTAATCTATTTACTGTTTAAGTGGGCTGTGAACTTAATATGGCACTTGGGCTGGAATTTCCAAAAAGGCTGAGCGATTTAGGAACAGCATCTTCTGATAAAGAAGGGTGGAGTTTTGTTCACAGTCACTTAATGTTGTTTTTTTTTTTTTTTTTTTTAAGTCTCACTGTAATGCTTTATTTCAAGTCTCGATACAAATCTCTGATTTCATTTCAGACCATGAAAAGGCCATTGAAACATACTGGCTATCTTAGTTGCCCTTAATCATCAGTATCTGTGAGAATAGGTGTCCATGTAATAGTCATGTCTACCAATACCAAGCAAAGTAGAATATTCTTGTGATAGTTTGCACTCAGCATTTGAAGAAGTTTATACTTTCATTTCTCCATCATTATTTCCACTGCAGTTAGTTCAAGGGCAAGTTATTGGCATTCTGGACTATTCTCTTAACTTGATGATTTTGAGATATCCCCATAGTGAAATGTCTGTAATAATGAAATTTAATTATTTTCTCTAAAGAACAATAAGGTTAGGATTTTGGATGACAAACTGACATAATTCTCTCTACAAAAAAAAAAAAAAAAAAAAAAAAGTTTCCTATAATGAAAAATTCCAGGTTTTGCCAGACATTCACACTGTTGAACCAGATGACAGTGGCATCAGGAGGTGCATTTCCTCCCATAATAAGCCTTTGATTTCTAGAACTGTTCTTCCAGTAATAAACTGTGTTACAGGCATTTAGACCAATTAGACTCAAAAACTTATTACTCTTGCAGTTACCCAACAATATTACACAATTATCCTATAATATTGCACAAACAGTTGTCCAACAACTATTGAAAACACTTAAGAAAAATATGGCAAATACAGAGTAATATAACAAATCACTAATCTAACTAAATGCACATTACAGAGAGTCCAAGATAAGCCTATAAATTCTAAACCGTGGTTTTATTCTCATTCTTTTACAGAGTACAAGGTAAGAAGAGCTTTTCCAGCTCTGGAAGAACAATCAGATTCAGCACTTCCTAGCAAGGTTAAATGTGTTCCTTTTTCATTTTTTATTGTTAATTTTTTCCCAGTGAATTATTTGTCAAATAAGGATACAAGTATGTACCATTAAGTTAGTAACTTGCCCCCACACTCTTTTCCATACATGGGAATCAGATTTGGCTGTAGTTCATATACTCTTGTCTTTTTAACAGATTTATCCTTATGAAACACTTATTGTAACAAATCGAGTTCGTGTGAAATTGCCTAAGGATGTGGACAGGACCAGATTGGAGGTAGGTATGATATTTGTTTGGTAGCTTTCCAAGTCTTTTGTCCTGTTTATTTATGATTCTAGCCATTCCTGTGCCCAAGTTGAGAAATAAGACCAAAAGAATAGTTTAGGCAGAAATATCAGCAGATAAAACCTAACATAACTCTGCTGACTTCAAGGATTCTACACCAGAGAGTGTAGGTGTCTTGTGGAAGTTCATAGCCCACAATTATTTAAGGCAGGTTGTTTTTTCAGGACAAGATGACCTTCTCTCCCCTTCTCCAAACACTGATAGGGAATATCGTATTTTATTTCAAAACATAAGTATGCAGCTTAATTGAAACAGAATACCCAGAAACCCTGAAAATGTGTGATAGCATGGTGTTTTACCAACATACTGATGAAATTCCTCTACTTTTGAATGACTTTATAGGATGTTGAGGGGAAAGGACTTTGTGTTTTGAATTACAAAAAGATAAGACTTGCCTAGAGTAACCTAGACATACCAAAAGTTCAAATTATCCTGCAAATATATGGACCTATGTTCCTGATTCATACAATGATCTGATTAAATCCATTTCAGATTGCTGTTCTTCAAGATCATGGGAAACTAAGCTCAAGCAGTAAGACAAGATGAGGTCATTTACATTTTGTACATAAAACTCAACTATTTAGCTCATTCAGCATCGTGTCCTTCAGTTGTGTGGTCCATGGTCCATTACTAATGTGTCAGGTTGCAACTAATCTGCTAATGCTGTAGCATCCACCTGTCTCAAAGAGTAGTAGTAGTGTAAGTAATGCTGGAGAAATTTAGATACAATTCATCCTGAGGGAAAACTGATTCTTCTGTCTGAGTAATGACAGGACTGAATAATGTCTTACCAGAATTATTACACTTATGTATATTTTGCCAATTAATATTAAGAACAAGAGATGGTCCAGTAAAAGTTAAAAGTGTTGGTGTTTGGGGAAGATTTATATTCAAATAAATTAATAGTGTTTTTGACTTGATAGTATTTGCCGAGAAAAGAAGAAAGAAACTTTCATCTTAAGGCAGAAAAGAAGAAAAACTATGAGCTAGGAACAAGTTCCTGTTTAAAGATCAAGTTTTTTTAAAAAAATTCCTATACAAAATTCATATACATATAGTATGTTTTGGAAATGAAGTACATTCCTTAAATACTTCAATATGTTTCTCACTAGATTACACAGCAAGTGGGATTGATTTGATTGTTAGAAAGTCTCAAACCTGTGCTATTTTAAGGCTGGGGTATAGCAAGGCTATGCCATATCCATAATAAAAGGCACGAGTCCAGAAAAAGAAACAAGAAGCTGGAGGGATTCTCATCTGCACACATCCTATAAAAGATACCTATGTATGTCTGTGTATATTAAAGAATAGAGTCTTTGTTTGAAAACATTGGACTGGTCTGAATGACAAATGCAGTTCTAAACTGTTTTTTTAAGACAACCTATAGTTTGCTTTGGATGGACCATGCATGTCCTGGCTGCCATCATCAATAACTCATCCGTTGTCCTCAGCTGGGCCTGCTGTTTGTTTAACACCAGAGTTGCTCAGTCGGCTTCGCACCAGGTGCGGTCTGTGCCTCATGTCTCGAGAAGTCCAGCTACTTCAAAGAGCTCACAGAGATTTGCAAAAGAACAATAAACAAGATCTGCTGCAAACCTTCAGCAGAGAAGCGATAAGGGACTCAACAGTCCTGCTGATTGCTGCACTATGTAAAACATGTGCACCTGCAGAAATGATTCCTTTGAAGACCATCTTACATTTATTAGGGATTGGTAGTTTTTTAAACAATTAAATTAGTAGAATTATATTATTGTTTTAAACAATTAAATTATAGGATTATAACTACTAGGAAAACAGGGACAGCAGTAGATTTGCACATTCAAACCATATGCATAGTTGAGTGGCAGGAACAAACTGTTATCTTCCCAGCCAACCTCTTTCCCCTTCTCCTGTGTCCCTTTCTTAGAGAGTATTTTGCCTGAAGAAATGGATAAGGTGATAGCATTCTGTTATCCAAAGGCCATATATTATCCATACTCTGCAGTGATTTGTCTCAGGAAAGCTTTGAAGACAAAATCAACATTGTAATATTCCAGCTTTTTTGCAGTTGGTTTTATAGGCCCAAATCTTATCTTCCTCTCCCTGCTACAAGTCAAAAGTAGTTCCTGTGGGCAGTGGATGTGAAAGATGAGGAAGGTGGTATAGGTGAAAAGAAACCTAGAACCTTTGTGTTTTCTCTTGCGGGAGATGAAAGTTGTGGGTTATATTGTTAGAGTTGAAAGTGATCTTACCTTGTCCAGTGTGATTAGAAATCTTACCCTTGATACACCTTTAATGGTCTGCTTAGTAGCAGTAAGGTGAATAAATCTACATGGGTTAGATTTATTTAACAGCCCTCTTGCAAGTTGAAGTGATTTCTTATTTGTGAAACATTGTTTGTTATAAACTGTGAATGATCTGGCATGGATGTTATGGAATAGACCCTGCTGGACATCTCTCATTCCCTGCTACAAGGGAAATCTCCTTCACTCACTTTCAAGTGAGTGACCCTATCGTGAAAAATGAACTCTAGTAGAAGGTGTCAGCTCCTTGGGTCAAATTAAGGGAAGCTGTGATGAAGGCTTCAGCTAATAGTCAAAACGAAGGATTGAAGAAGGATGGGTGGGGTTTTAATGGGTGTCAGTGTTTTCCTAACTTTGCTCCCCTTGAGAGTATTTTTTTAGATTACAACTCTGTTGTGTAAGAAATCTATTTTAGGGCATAGAAATAATATTTTTTGTAAAAATGCATGTATTTTTCTAAGCCTTAGAGATGTCTAGAGATTAGAAAGTCTCAACTGGTAATGAATGCATGAAAATAACAAAAATTCTTTCTTCAAAACCACATATATGCAAACACAGAAACACTTTCTGTTTGCTTGTTCTAACTCAGCAGTAAAGCCGAAGGAGCTGAGTTCTTTGTTCTCCTAGGAGAGATGTTTATGCCGATGTTGAACTAATGTATGCAACATTTAGTACTACATATAATAAATGACCTGATGATTTTTAGATACATGACAGGCACTCTGACTTTTTAGTGAATATTCTTCATTTAGTATAAGCTATTTAGAACTGTGAGGAATTTACAGCAGATAAGATTTGGCCCCGAAATTTTTTGAGAAGTTCCTCTTTATCAGGTTGCTGAATGGAGCAGCTTTATCATGAGTAAGTCTAAAGGGAAATTATGAAGAATCAATTAATTTAGATAACATTTCAATATGATAAAGTAATAAAACATGCTTGGGCTAGGCAGTCTGGTTGAAGAGTTCAGATGCAGCCTCACAAAGTTTGCAAACAGCAAGCTGAGGGGAGAAGAGCCTCCATTCAGGAGGAGCTAGACAGGCTACAGGAATAGGTGACTGACCTCATGAAGTGCAAAAAAAAAAAAAAAAAAAAGTAAATGCAAATTCCTGTGCTAGGGACTGGCTCTGTAGAAAAGGACCTGAGGGTCCTGATGAAAAACAAGTAGAACATGAGTTGGCAGTGCATCTTTGCGAGAATGAAGGCTAAACATTTTGGGCTGCATTAGCAGAACAGTAGATACTGGTTGAAGGAAGTGACTATTCCCCTCTACCCGGATTGAATCAGCAACATGAGAAGTGTCCAGTTTTGAGCTTCCCAGTACAAGACACTGCCAAACTGGAAGAGTTCAATAGAGGACAGCCAAGATACCAGCAGTGCTGGAGCACTTGATGTGCAAAGAAGACCTGAGGGAGATGGCTTTGTGTAGCCCGGAGAAGGGAAAGTTAAGGTATGAGCTAACTGCTGGTCTCCAAAATGCAAAAGGGGTTGGAGAAAAGGGATTAGAGAAAACATGGAAAGACAAGAGTCAGACATTTCAAGAAGAAAAGTCACAGCTGGATATATGAAAAAAATTCTTAGTCAGAAAAGTAAAGTTGGTTGCCCACAGAGCTGTGGTGTCTCCATCCTGAAGGTATTCAGAAATCAACTGAAGAACGTCCTGAGCAACCTGAACTAATTTTAAAGTTGTTTCTGCTTTGATAGGCTCCATAAGCCCCTACTTTGCTTAGGCTAATGTATTTCTTCTCTTTGTGAAGATGCAGCCTTAATACAATTTAGTTGCAAAATATGATTCTGAAATGCTTTTATTGTAGCATTTGAAGAAATGTGTATTTGGTTCTGCCTTGGAACATTTTATGAACAGGATGATTTTATTGTGAAAAGAGTTAAATATGCATGTTTTGTTTTGAAGCAAATGTGCCCTGTTTTGGACAACTTGCAATCATGAGTTTTCAGGGGCTAAGATACCACCTTTCAATGGTACAAATTCCACACGATATTCTACATGGCCTGTCCTTTTTCAAAAGAAGCTAGGTTTACAGACAGGTCTGAAAATCTTGGTGACCTCTTTTAGCACTTGAAAGCCTTTAATGATTTACACTTTGGACTCCTAAAATGTACACTTGTTACCTTTATCTTATATCAGATATTGCTTCCCTGTTGTTCAGCCATGGTAATGTGAGTTGGATCAGTGTTTACACATCTAAATTGATTGCATGTGCACAGCTGAATAAACCTTTTTTTTTCTCCTTTAAAGTTGTTCTTATCACAGTAGATTTCTTACATGGTCATATTTGGGTAGTTTTGAAAGCCAACATTGTTAGAATCTTTCATTTTGAAATTTTGGGATTTTTGTTTTACTTGATTTTCTTAATATTTGACTGTTATTTAGTTTCTTTAGCCTTTAGTACCTTTTCCTTTTGTGAATATCAAAGCGTTAAAAAGGAAATATTATTAATTCAGGCCTACCAAATGCAGTTGAAAGCCATTTATTCCACTTTAGTTTGAGCCCGTTGGCTCTTTGTTTCAGAAGGATATACTGAAACAATTGCTCAGGAAACAAATATTCTGGAATGTCAAGTAGCAAACCTTCATCTGTCACCTTCTTCTCTTGTAAACAGAAATCAGAGATTTAAACATGGGTGCGGTCTT